AGGGGTTACTATTAAAAAAAAAGTTGGCCCAGTTGGGGGGCTATGTATTTATTTTTATAGCAATATTTCTACATTCGCTAGTGAAGTCCTGCTACTAAAACCTGGGACACATGGTATAAAACTGTAGTTATTATAATATAAGCAATTTGTTGTAATTTAAAAATTACAACCCACGGCTATATCCTTTGAAACTGAAAATTATTTGTGTTCAACATATTATCAATGTTACTTTTACCTTAAGTTGCATAATTTTAATAAATAACATTCTATATTGTTATTATTAAAGCAAAATCGGTAATAATACATCTATTACTTCCTAACCCCGGCGCATCCGCCAATTTTAAAAATATTTAATCTTTTATTATTAATTTTAAATTAATTTACTCACTACTGAGCTGTACAAATAATTTAAATGACTTTTTACACCAAGAAAAACAAATACCAATTAGTAATTTATATTTATTACAACAAGAATATGACATGCTTTCACAACATCTTGATATTTTTGCATATGATGTATTATTTATCAACAATGCATTATATTTGCTTCATTTCTTAAATAAATATGGTCGGTAGAAAATTTTAATAACTTTCCAAGCCTTTATTGCATAGTTACCTACCTCAATTCGATAAATATTCCGGGTGTAATGTTTACCTATGTTTTGCATAGCTGCCTTAAATAAACATTATTTTAAATATTTTTTGTATGTTAATGATAGCGATCCCAATTTACAATCGTTATTTTCTACTTTAAATATAAATGGGTCGGTTAAGTAATATTTTACACCTCCCGAGTTGTGAGTGAAAATAACTACTATAATTAATTTCCTTTTAAGTATTGGCTGAATTTTGTTAGTCATCATTTTTAATAAGCCAGCATGTATTTTTCAAATCAAATCTGTATCAAAAACAAATAAAAAGATGTTGATTGTCTTGCCTTGTTTCGATCAGATACAACAACTTCATAAAGTTCTTTTATTCAATTGGGTATTCCATCTTATTTTGAAAGAGGAAGGATATCATCACTTATTTGGTTCGTCCGCAATTGAATTCTCTATGCTCAAATAGCAGCCTTGACTTTTAAAAGAATAAATTTGTTTCTTTACATTAAATCTGACATTGGATTCTGCAAACTTTTCAGAAATAAATCGACATAATCCGACAGGATTTTCAATTTCAACGTTTGATGTCTGCAATTCTTTCTTACCGCACAAGCCCTCGAGTTACATAAAAACAGTTCAATTAATTTCTTTGTTATGTAAAGTGGTTTACTAATTTTAAATTAGGTACTCACGTCAGTTTTTTTCTTTATATTGGGCAATACTTTGAAATATTAGATTGACCAGATAAGAAATCTGTATCAATCATTTTATTATTTATACCCAAATTGATTTGTACGTATCCATTTCTATTTAATTAACTTTTATAGATCGATATAATATCTTAATTATAACGTACCGCAGTTTATGACTTAATTGGCGTATTTTTTACAATCCGTTCGCCGCAAAACTAAACCAATTTTATATACCTACCCAAAAGATTCAGATAGATTAACCGTTTTCGTTAAATGGCATAAAACCTTAGGCGTTTATGATACAAGATGTGTCCATCATTAACTCGCTTGTAAATCATTATGTTTCATTAAAAAAAATTATAAATTCTAGGTTATTTACAAAAAATCACTGCCCCTGACATTATTGTCACAACAATTAAAGATAATCCACATTGCCTTCATAAATTTGGATGGATTTATTACGTTATTTATATCTGGGTATTGATAATTAATTAAAAATTAATTAAAATTTAAATGTTTTAAAACAAATTTTAAACGATAAACTAGGTAAGCAGTATATAAACTGTGCAAAATTAAAACATCACTTTTTTAGAGTAAAGATCTATACAATTTAAATAAAATAGTCCAGAAAGTGCTCCTTTGGATATTTTGTAGCCTAAAGTTTGCTTAATAAGTTTGCCACGCAACCATGTAAAATTCAAATGTGGCGGCCATGAGAAAAACAAAAGATGGTGGTGGTTACTCAAAATCTGGCAGGCGAAAAAAATCATAAATTATAAATTTTCTTAGGTACCTAAACTTTAATGTGTTTTAAGCTAATGCGAAATTATAAATAAATGCAAACTTTTAAGCTTTTTTTAATTGATTTTTATTCATATTCGTTCGCAATCAATTTTTGTTTTTAAATTTTTTAAAACTATATTTCTCAGCTATAAGGGTGATTTTACAAAAGTTGGGCAACTTTAACCTCATTTTGTTTATATAGTTTTCGGAGAACATTAAACAGTATTTTGTTATGAGACCATAGATAATATAATAAATATAGGTACTGTTCCAGACCGGGCCAGTCACTTTTTCAAACAGTTTCTGAAATATCTGCAGATATGTGTTTTCTAAATTTGAATGCAAGGGAAGTGACGAGTATACCAGGGTACTAATTATTAATTAGTAATTAATTACATAATTTATTGGAAAATATATGGTTTATTGCAACTTTGAGCATATTATACATTAAATATCTTAAAATCAAATAATACTACACATCAGTGGCGGCTGGTGGATTTTGGGTATACCGATATCTCAATTATTAGATATGGGACCCACACCAAATTTATATGAGTTTATAATGACATTAAATAAACAAGTTCTGCGCAAGCAGAATTTTAATTGAAGATTGCGAAAAAAAAGATAACCGAAACCTTATTATTCGGAATTAAGTATTTTACTGATATTCTTTATTAGTGGATGCTACTTATCAGTGGCGTAACAAATTCTTAGTGGGCCCCCCCGCAAACGATTTTAATTGGCCCTCTTTACAATAATTAAAAAGTTTATTTAATAGGTAATTTTTAAAATAGTTTATCATAGTACTTTTAAACCTACATTATATACATAATATTTTTTAAATTAAAAATTTTGACAGGTAGGTATAGAGTGTATACGATAGACAGACATACGATAAGCAAATAAAAAAGTATTAGGTAAGAAAAATTGCTGTATCTGCAATTTTTGGTAGTAAAACATAAAATATTTAATTAATTTTGGTTTAAAAATATCTTATTCTATATACCTTTTTTATGCTGGATCATTTTCGTAATTCTATAATATATATATTATAGAATTACGAAAATGATCCAGCATAAAAAAGGTATATAGAATAAGATATTTTTAAACCAAAATTAATTAAATATTTTATGTTTTACTACATATAATATATAATATCTTATTTAGATTCTTTTAAAAAAATATTTAAATAATAATTACCTAAACATTTTCTGTTCTTATTACCAAATTTTGCCTTTCTTAGAACGGCAGTATTATACCAGCAATAATAACAATTTAAAAATAATAATAATTTAAAAAATGTATACATATCTTACCAAGTTTAAACAGTCTTGAAAAAAAATTAAAACATATTGTAGACAGTCTTAAAGAAGTTAAATTAAAAAAAATTAAAAACAAACACAAAATGCGATTGTCTAAGTATTTATAGATTTACTAGAAAAATCGGTCTGATTTTCTAGAGTTTTTTTTGCAAATTCAGTTATAATATTGCCAATGTTTAATGTCTTAATAAACTCATGTTCAATACTAATAATTGATAAATTACAAAGACGTTGTTTTCCCATAGTGTTACGAAGATATGTTTTCACTATTTTTAGTTTCGAAAAAGAACGCCTTGGGCCCCCTGACCGTCTGGCCCCCCCCGCGGTGCGGGGTCTGCGGGGGTGCTTATTACGCCACTGCTACTTATCAACAAATCACATAGGTATAGTCTTATATAAATTACAATGAAATATATATACGTAATAAAATAACTACTCATCACGGTACTGACATTTTGACTGGAACTATAGTTTCAGGATATATCCGTGCATTCACCACAACTTCGCCGCTTGCATTGTTTTCAAGATGACTGTCGAGCAAAGGGAGGGCTCTGTAGGTAATTTTTTACCAACACTTGAGTTAAAACTTCAATATTTCGCAGGAATTTTGAATTTTAACATTGGACACAGAACTGACGGGTAAAAGTGAATACAAAGATTATCAATTTTTTAAAAATTGCTATTATTCGAATCTATGATAAAATAGGTACCTATGAAAAATACATTATTTAATGTTTTATAGTTTGTAGTGAAATGGAAAAATTTAAGATAAATTGAATATATTTTAAAATAAAATCACTCAAATATTTGATTCAGGAGTTGTGACACGCCAAGGTACTGATGTTTTGAATAACCATTTATTATGTTTTTCTACAAACCTGCTTTTAAAAAAATACATTAAAATTGGGTGGACAAGTTAAAAAAAAACTGGATCTTTTGTAATCTACTAAAATATTTACAAAAAATATTAAAATACCTACTCTATTGACTGATGACATCAAGTTGTCCAACTTGTAAAATGTGTAAAATCACCCATATACAATTAAATGTTTATAAAAAATAAATTCTTTAGCAATTCTTATGCGATTTAGGAAGTTCAAAAAGGTTTTATTTTTGCTTGAAATAGTGAAAAATTATTTAATTTAAGCAACCCAAAAGTTAGGAAAACAAAATAATTGTAAATACAATAATTGGATTCGAAAAGAAGTTTATTTAAGAACCATGATAACAAAGTAACAAACTAGTTTGCTTGTATTTATGCAACCCAGTATACAATTTCTTCGGCATAACTTTCTAATGACGTCACATGTTTACATCAACATCAACTATACACCTTCCGCCATTAAGATAGCGTTCACCTGTTCAAAAGGTAATTTCTTTATTTTTTTACCATAGCAAATCTGTATCTAAAAAATATTGATGCGTTAATCGTAATCCAGGTGACCAATAAATGTTGTTAACATTAACTCGGCCTTAATTAACATGATTCATTAATTTAAAAAACACCACACCCACAAACAAACGCTAATACAGTTTCAACGTTTTAGGTGCGACAAATTGTTCTGCAAAATTGAAAAGAAGATACAGTTCAATGATCTGAAATGTCTGTTGTACTGGACGATAGAAACGCCTATTTGAAAAGCCCTTATTTCACCAAACACGAATACGGAGACTTCACCCCGTTCTACATAGCAGTCACTATTTGCTCTGTTATTGGGGTATCTATTTTTATTTTAAATATAGTGCTCGGGTGTTGCTCCAGATACAGCGGGTATTGGCAGGATAGACATACAGGTAAGATATTGTATACGAGTGTTTTAGACATTATTGTAAAGGATTTTTGTTTTTTTTAAGGTAATCGTTGGATTGTTTCACTTTGGACAGCTACTCCCCACCAACAACCTGCTTTAGACTACACTGAGTTGCAGGACATATCGATTCAACAACAACCCGCAAGTCAAGTGGAATATCATCCACCATCTCCGCAGCCAGTGAAGCAACAATATTTAGAGCTTAAAAAACGTGAAAGCGACATTTAAAAATGTTTGCCGCATTTTGGCCTGCCACTGCATGCCTAACATTCTTTCTCATAGTTGGTGTCATAATGGTAATGCTTAAATTTGGTCCACGTTTGTGTAACCTTAGACACACTGCACTACCTGATAGAGACGGAGATTGGGAGCACAGAGCTTACGAACAAACTGTATCGTATGCTTAAGTAATAACATAACATGACGTTTTTATATTTAGACATAGGTATATCGCCATATCTACAATGTTGATTTTTAATATTTTTTAATAAGTTTATATTATGTTCTGCTATGTAGGCAAAATTGTAACGCATCTATTATTAAGATGTTTTTAATTATAAATGTAATCAATCCGTCCATTTTTACTCTTTGATATAATGTATTTTTTAATAAATTTTTAGAATTTTACATATATTTGTTTTAATCACACTTGTAAAGTTGGCTTTAAGTTAGTTGACTCGGCAAAACAAATAACTATTACTTTACCATTATTTCCGAGATTATTTGATAAAAGTTGGAGTTTATTTTGAGGATTATATGATATTAAATATCAATTTTTGACAACTGTTGTCAAAAATTGATATTTAATATCATATAATCCTCAAAATAAACTCCAACTTTTATGAAATAATCTCGGAAATAATGGTAAAGTAATAGTTATTTGTTTTGCCGAGTGTGCATTCACACGAGCTTAAAGAAAGCTTTTCTCACAAGTGAACCAATGTTTTTTCTACGCCCTTTTATTTTTTATTATTTTCAAATACAAAACATAATAAATAAAATTACTTTCATCTTGTTCTTTTAATTTTTAAGGTATAACTTAAGTTACTTAAAATCAATAAACACACCTTCTCAACTTAAATTAAGGCACTAAAAATTAGAATTTACTATACCTAGAAACACAATTAATTGTGTTCTAAATAATCTTTAGACATATGTCTAATATCTTTTCAATCGCTTCATTATAATGAGTATACTTAAGTATACTTAAGTAATGGAGCGATTGAAATAGTATATTATGTATCAAGTTTTATAAACGCCATTTTAGTTACGAGTTTAATTAAGCACGAGCGAAGCTTGCGAGCGAGTGTTTAATAAAAACGAGTGTCTAGAGAAGTTTATAAACGAGTTGCATACTATAATTTATCTACGTCGAACACAAAACAGAATTTAAAGCCAATTTTATTTGTTAAAATTTTGACATCTGTCAACTGTCACCCGAATTTAACTTCACTTTTTCCCAATTTATAATAAAGCTAACTTCAGCCCGTGACGTAAAATGTCGAAAAGCCACTGTTGTTAACTTCAGCCCGTCAATAAAACGCCATAAAGTGACAGCTCGTCAATGTAGGAGGAGATAATAGTATATTATGTATCAAGTTTTATAAACGCCATTTTAGTTACGAGTTTAATTAAGCACGAGCGAAGCTTGCGAGCGAGTGTTTAATAAAAACGAGTGTCTAGAGGAGTTTATAAACGAGTTGCATACTATACTTTATCTACGACGAACACAAAACAGAATTTAAAGCCAATTTTATTTGTTAAAATTTTGACATCTGTCAACTGTCACACGAATTTAACCTCACTTTTTCCCAATTTATAATAAAGCTGACTTCAGCCCGTGGCGTAAAATGTCGAAAAGCCACTGTTGTTAACTTCAGCCCGTCAATAAAAAGCCATAAATTTATGACTTAAGTCACAGCTCGTCAATGTAGGAGTAGATAAATATCTTTTCAATCGCTCCATTACTTACGTACCTATCCAGAATAGTATCAGAGCATTGAGTAAAGAATGATCAGAGTGTGTGAACAGCATTCACAACAAAAAAGGGGTCCTAAATTTATTTCTTTGAACCAGGCGATCACGTATTTTGGCCAAAGGTAGTTTTTTGTGGTTTTAATATTCTGTTCTAATTATTAACGTGCCCCCACAGCCCCGTTCGTTGCAAATTGGTTGTTAGTCCATTTCAAAAGATAAATTTTAATTGTTATAGAAAGATTTGACAACCAACACGGCCATTTTGAAAGCCGGTAAAGATTCCAGGTCCCATTTTTGTATAGATGTCGCTCTATACAAATATAATTAATAAAAAATTGTTTTTTATTATTAATATTTGTCGTAGAGAAACTTTTCCAGACACTCACTCGCAAGCTCGCTCGTGCCTATATATTTTAAATTTTAAAGGTTGGGTACTTATAGGTATACCTTATCTCAATTCTATTGTCAGTGACAGTCACCTTACCTCAATTATACTGTAAGTGACAAATACCTAACCTCAATTTTATTTTATGTGACAGATACTTAACATCAATTCTACGTCAAATAATGCAATTAATATTATTTTTACCTAGACGACTTAACAGCACTAGAGAAATAAAGACCGTTTAATAAAAGCTTTAAAGTATCCTTAGATTTAGCCAAAATTTTAATGTATTGTAATGTATCATAACCTAACTAACTTGCAAACATTCGATAGGAAATTATCTTGTTGCAAATAACGATAATATTATTCCGCGCAAGCATTTTCATGTAGTAATTATTTAATAAAATGTAACGTAATTTAATTTAAAAACTAAAATTGTCTAACCATGTGGACGCGTATATTAATATAGTAAAATACAGTAAAATATAGTAAAAGTTGGCCAAGTTTCCAATACATTACTTTAAATGCGGGGTAAACGCGTCCACATGGTTACACAATTTTAACTTTTAAATTAAATTACGTTACATTTTATTAAATCCACCTTTAAATTGGCAGATTATAAAAAAAATATTTAGATTCTTAGTAATTTTTTATTTAATTAAAATATAAATTGGTAGGTAAATGACAAAAAATAGACATCAATAGTATAACATTTTTACATTTCAGCACATTCAAATATTTAGTTACCATTAACATATCTGCTATAACCACAAACATTAAAAATAACTTCAAACCACATGTTATGCTACCACATCATAAGTTTTCACTACACAAAAATTAGTAGTCTACTTGTAGATAATTAAAGAATACTGTAAATTGGCGATAAGAAAAATGCAGTCTTTGTAAATCTAGTTAAAACATAAAAATATCCCAAGATTATTAAAAGTAAATTAAACCAAAAATGTTAAATGTTTAATTTTCAGTTTTCCCATCTTTTGTGAATTTCCGGCTTTAGGTTGATAATGTGCACATGAACGGCTTGGAATTTTTCAAATTTTGGTGGCAAAGGACACAATTGGTATTTTACCCTGTCACCTGGCAATGGAACATATTCATCTTCAAAACTAAAAAAAACATAACTTTACTACTTTTTGCACAATGTCCCATACATTAAGATTGCAATTTTATACAGACAAGTCTTTAAGGCATAATATTTATGTAGGGGGACTATTTGAAGTTCTCAAAAAAATACAAAAAGTAATTCGAAAGGGGAACTATGTTCCACACCATATATCTAATCTATTTAAATAGGGGAGGACAAAAACGCTACGTTGCACACATATGCGTCTGTCTCTTTTTATAATAGTTATAATAAGTTATCTTTCTGTAGGTTTATCGCTAATTTCGTCTTCCTGAAGATAATACAATATATGTATTTTTCTGTATAAAGGCCTTAATTTAGAACATACGAGAAATACCTATATTGCATTATTTTCAAAAAATGACAGAAATTAGCGTTAAACTTAAACTGACAGATAATAACATATATTATATGATGCCTGTCATAGCAAAACCGACAATATCCACTTTTGGTCAAAAATTAGATTTTTGGCGGAGACTACACTTCAACTAATTATCTATAAGATGGTAAAGTTTATGTGCTGCAAAAGGAGCTAAATCCTGCCTAAAATCCTATTTTAAAAATGACATTTAGTGCAAAGTCAACAATCTCCACTGATAGATTTGCAGCAGAGTATACAATCTCCAATTCCACCATTAGAAATTAGTAATTTGTGTCACCTGATATCCTAACATTTGATGTTATAACGAATTTTAGAGATTTAATTTTGTGTTTTTTTACTGGCACATACTGTTAAGTTCTATTGCAGTAAATTGCACTTAAAAATATATTTAAAATAGGTAAATCTACGTTTTATTGTTTTAAGAATTATAAATAAGTTATCTTGTTTATTTTGTGCTATTATACCATAATAAGACGAAAAGGTAAAGCAAGAAAAGGCTGATAATGTCAAAACATTGCAAGTAAAACATTACAGGGGCAAAGTGGGAAGGAGATGATGAGTTGTTGTACTATAAAAAAAAATGCATGAGGCAACCTGGTCCCAGATTTAGAAGAAACTCCAGATTTATGTGGTCCAGTTCAGTATTTTCCCACATTGATTGTATAGTTAAATTTTATAACCATTAAAGGGAGAAAAATTCAATTATTTTTTTGTTTATTTTTCTAAATTTCCTTAAACGTTTACAACAAAATGAGCAATCTCCAGCAATTCATATCAAAGTCAGCAATCTCCAATTTATAATTATAGATTTTACCTATACTATGCATCCTGGAGACCTTGTAGTTGGCTACTAGACTAACAACAACAATATTTCAATATAATATATAAAAAAAATTACAAATCTAGAATTTAAAATACCAAAATCCATTATTTCAATTTACTCAGTTTTAGTCTGACGGGAGATTTTTGACTTTGCTCTGACAGGCCTCATATGTATAATTTGAAGTATTTGTATTCAAATGTCAAGGTGACACTTGCATAGCACCTACCTACTTTTTAAATTATTAATAATATAATTTTAATAATTTTAAAACACTGTACAGATTTTCAAAAACTACTTATCAGAATATAAACTTAGATTTAAATCTTGTGGTATAACAGAAACTTTAGTTTCTGTGGTATACCTATTTTAAAAAACTTTTATGTTTTAAATTTTAAAATCAACATTTCCATAGAGGGTGTTGAATAATACACTAAATAAAATAATTAGGTACATACAGCATGTCCCAAAAATTAATTAAATCTAAAAGAGATGCAATAAAGAGTTTTGGGTCCTCGACATAATACGGAAATTTTAAATTGTTATAGCCAGGCATCATCATTTTTGATTCATAGACTCACAGCAATAAATTTCATGAATGACAAAAATTTTGTATTGTATTATATTAAATTTAATCTGTAACAATTCCCTGACTCTTTAAAAATTTCCCTGTAATTCCCTGACTTTCCAATTACATTTTTCGGTTTTTCAGAAAATGGTCAAGCATTTTACAACCCAAAATTAAAAAAATTGACTTCACCTTAATATTCTGTTATATTAATGTTATTAAATATTGAGCAACATGGTATATAAAATATACATATTAAAAAATGAAGATTGGCCTTAATTAAATGACGGTAAAACTTTCGTACTTGGGCTTCCCAGCAAACAAAATTTGGGTTAGAAATGGCCAATGATGAAGCAAACATACTGCACATAATAATTATTATAACAATTATTGTGCAAACAATGGCCAATGGTAGGTATCAATTAATGGTCAATGTTTGCAAAATTTAATTGAGCACCATAACCATCCAATAATTGGCCAATTTTTGGGCAATTTGTTTGAATGTCAATATTCTAACAAACAAATTAGGTAAGTATTTTAAATATTACAACAGTAAAAGTCATCAAGGTTACAAAAATTATGGTTATTACTGAAATTTTATAGATCTTTTATATATTAATTTCTTTTGGATATTTTTAAAAATGTCTTTTAGACAAAATATTTGTATTAAAGGGAAAAATTGTAAAGCAAAAAAAAGAGTCGTCCATTAGGAATGTCACGCTTTTTTATGGAATTTATAACCTTGTCACAGCATCACAAATTCAAAAAACTTATATCTCTAGATATGTATAAAAAATATTTAATTTTAGAAAGTCAAAATAACGAATTGTGGAAGTCACATTTTCATGACCCCCCCTCTTGTCACAAATGTTTAGGTTTTGCTCGAACCCTCCCATGTACCATGCTTGACACATCAAAGTCCCACCAAGTGACTTTGACACAAATAATTAAGGTTAATTTTTTCTCACTGTCAAGCCAGTTTCATCCTATTTTCTGAAAATAATGCAATTTATGTATAATTAATTTAGAACACAAAAATGCGTATATTGTATTATTTATAAAAATAAGACAAAATTAGCTTGACAGTTAACATTAATTATAGAGCAAACAAGCAAAAGCCAATAAATCCATTTTAACCTATTCTAAGGTATTGGCTAAAAATCTCTACAGCCAAGTCCCCCAAATATTTAAAAACTATTAAAAGGGAATGTTGCTCCTGTTGGGTTGTCAAAAGAGTTTACCAAAATTAGTAAGAATCAGTACTATACTCTTAAAATATAAAAATGGATTTATTGGTTTTTGTATAATTGCTCCACAATTATTTGTATTAAAGTCACTCTGTGGGACATTAATGTGTAGAGCAAAGTAGTAATAATTGCCTATGATCAATTAATTAATCAAGGTATCAATTAATGGCCAATGTGTGTTAAAAAAACATTTTATAAATAATAAATAAATAAACAATAATATTACAATTTTTAATTTGTCAATAATGATATCAAAATATTGTGCCAATTTTGGCAATATTTAGCCAACTGAACTGGGTTAATAAAATTGACCCAGAAATGGCCATTACTTGTTTGCTGGGTTTATCAAAAAGTTTAAGTGGGCCAATTTGAGCCATTTCAAAAAAGCCTGAGTATAATTTTGACTTAAATGACTTTTGTCTTGTTATTAGGTATATAAGCAAATGAAATCACTTTGCATGTGAAAAATGAAAGGAATTTTGTGTAAACAATTTACCTACATACATTTTTTTATAAATAACTTATAAAAAACAAACAATACTGAATAATAGGATTTTATATAAACACAATTAACAGAATAAACATATTGAAAAATTAACCATACTTACTCTGAAACATGGCAAAATAAAACTTCAGATCCATCTTCAGGTGTTATAAAGCCATGACCCTTTTCGCGGCAAAACGACTTTATACTTCCATATAAAGTTTTATGTTTGATAATTTTTTCACATCTAAAAATACAAACATTTCATTAGATTTATTAACTAAAATTTACCTCAAATCTTATACTTTTTAAGCTAATAAAAAATTGCAAAGTAATAAAAAGAACTTACGTCGATGGTGTTCGGTTTCTTTTCGTAATCAACGGGCTTGGAATTAAGTTTGCCGAAGTTGCAGTTACTTTACAACCCTCACCTGCACCTAATTCTGCCATGTTATTTTATTTTATTGTCAGTATACGTAAAATCAGACGAAAAATTCTAGAACGACTTGAGCTGCAGAAAATGATTAAAAATGTTGACATTAGAATGACCTTGGATGCGTTCAGAAATGTAAACTTGGAACGTAAACAGAATTACAATTTAATTTAAATAATATTTTGGTTTTAAATTTGTAGCCTAATTAAAAATTAAGTTATAAGTAAATTTAAAAATAAATTTAGTTGTTTAAATAGACTTTTGGGATATTCGTATATTGATTTCGGAACGCATAGCTGTGTGACGTCATATGCAAGTGGGAGCTGTCAAAAACCAGTGCACTGACAGATTTGCCTTATTTTTTGCGTATTATTGAAATTAAATTATTGATTGATCTCCTTTTGCAATATTTACAATGTCTGTTAGTGAAAGGTGATGCTTTATAGTAGTAGATTGATGTTTTAACTATAGTTTTATTCATTTTAGAGTACAAGAAGAGCTGGAGGCTTTAGAAGCAATATTAATGGATGATATTTCAATAACATACAATGAAAAGTAATATCTTACGGTTAATAAATTAACCTTGCATCATGTAACGCGAATATATTTTGTAGAGGTTATCCTGAACTAGTCAAATCCACCATATTTCCCTCCACTGCTGACGATACAGATAAACAATACGTTTGTGTTACCCTTGAAGTAAAGTTACCAGAAAAGTATCCTGATTGTGAACCAATAATTAATTTAAGGAATCCCAGAGGTTTGGATGATTCAACTGTTAATGAAATATACAGTTCCATAAAGATTAAATGCAATGAGTTTCTTGGGCAGCCTGTAATATTTGAATTGATAGAGGTAAGGTTTAAACCAATTAAAAAAACTTAATATAAGTATTTTAACTTTTTTTGAACAATAATGTTTGTAGGTATACAAACAAATAAATTGTCTAGCATTAAAATAAAATTTAATTTTAAAAATTGTTTTTGTAATAATTAGTATAAGATGAGGATTTTTTTATTTATTAACATATACTTACAGTACATACCTAAACAATGATATTTCCCGATATTTCCATGATTATTAACTTAAAAACTTCTGCTTAGATTTTTTGTAATTTTTGTTAAACTGCCCATTTTTTGGGACTTAAATATTTAAAGATGCTGGTAAAGAGACAAGTTTTTAAAATTGTTTTTCCCTAATTATGGTATTTATTCATTTGAAGAAAAATCTTTGAGTATGCTTATTAGGGTGGGCCAATTTTACCATTTTTCAATTATCAAATTGTGCAATGGTGGAAAAGTTAAGCATTTATAAGCCAGAAAAATATTATATAAGCTTTTTTTTAATTTTAATTTCTTAAACTGCCATAAGGCCTTGAAAGTTCTTAATGTAATTTAGTACCATTTTAAATACGAAAAAAATTATCTGGGAGAAAATAGGATCAAAAACTGAATGATAATTATTTATGATAAAATACGAAAACAAAAATCCGAGCAAAAATCACTTTATCATCAAACAAATTTAGTTCAATTTTTTGTTTTGAAACAAAATAGAGTATAATTTTGCATGATTTCAATTGACTTTGTCACAATATTATAATTTATATAAACAGTGAAGCCAACTGTTAACTGTCATACATCAAACCCAAAATCTTAAAAAATATTTATTTTACATTTTAAGCCGTCTTTTTAATAATTGCATGATTTAAAATTTACATTTTGTAACTTCATGCAGTTTAAAACATTAAAAAATAAAAAAAACATCAAAAGAAAATAGTTTACTTTCCTGCTTCACAACTTTTCTGCTTACGCAGAATTTTAATTTTTTTAAATTACTTTTAAATTTTAGTTTTTTGCAAATAATGTTTGTTTTCCTATTTCACAACTTTTTCTTAAACACAGAATTTAAATTTTTTAAATTTTAGAAATTACATGTAAAATCCTAATGCTTAATTCCTCTGTACAAAATAATTATAATTGTTTGATTTAAATTTTTTCATAATTAATTTTATTTTTAGTTGATAAGGGAAAGTCTTACAGAAAGCAATCTGCCTACTTGCCAATGTGCTGTGTGTTTATACGGGTTTTCAGAAGGAGACAGCTTTACAAAAACTCAGTGTTTCCACTATTTTCATTCCTACTGCCTATCAAAGCACCTAATCACAACCGAGAGATTATATCAGGAAGAACAAGATAAACTGCCTGCTTGGCAAAAGAATCCAAAAGGCTTTAATGTAAGTTTTTTTTTTAATTTTCTATTACAATATGTATTTAAAATTTTGACCAGAGAATTAACTTGAAATGTTGTATAAAAGTCGTAAACTACAACAGTCAAATATTTTAATATTTATTTAACCATATTTCTGGAGCAATCACACAAAATCAGATAAATCCGTTTTAAGCAGTTTCAAGTTTCAGCAAAAACTAATATTTTTCGTTCTGCAACATTTACACAAAGAACAACCCATGTATTCTATAGAATATAGTGTATGGTATAGTGTATAGACCTAAAAACTCAATTTTGTTTTTTGTCCACCTGCATCATTTGTTATAGTAAAAAAAACAAAATGGATTTATCTAGTGTTGCTTGAATTGACAGGATTTATCTTCATTTGTTTGAAATAGGAATAAAAAAAACCGTTTTATCCATTGACCTATACAGGGTGGTCCAGGATTAATCTGAAAAATGTTAAAGCTATTTAAGTTAATTTAAAATATCAATAATGTGAATATATCTTATTTTCACTGAAACAAGAATTTAAATTGTTTTAATTTGGATTTATCTGCTTTTTCTTGATTTGCTAGGTTTTGGGACCGGTATTTAATAACAATAACTTGGTTTGGCTCAATTCTGAGTTCACCAATGGATTAATCTTACCTCATTCACTGTTAGTTCATACCTAACTCATTTTTTAACAAAACTGGATTTATCTGCTTTTGTCTGATTGCTCTATATTTGTACAACTTATTGAGATATCAATTTATGTCAATTAAAGTTTATAAATCTAATCAGAATAATTTAATTTGCTTCTATAATTGCCAGAAAAATTTGTAACAGAATATTGCTATTTTATGCATAATTGTGATTCATCTTTATTTTATTTTTTATCCGCACTTTAAGTATGATAATTTTCACTTAATTTTGTTTTTTTAATTTAGTTCATAAAGATATTGGGCATGCTAGAAAATTAACAATTAATTAATGCTAGATATAAATGCAACAAAAAAATATATTTTTCAAAATGATAGAGTGCCTTAATAAGGGGTTTAAACTTTATACATCCCATATTAATTGGCAAAATAAAAATTGTGTGTGCACATTCTTCTTTTAGGCTGCATGTCCTGTATGTCGTGAAGGTATAATCTGTGATGTAAACGAATTAAAAACGTCACTTCCACCAAAAGACTTAGAAAATGCTCAAAACTTTGAAGTTACTAATGATTTAAAATTGCTGCAGCTAAAAATGAAGGAGTTGTTTACTTATCAAAAGAAAAGAGGTGGAATTATTGACATCGAAGCACAAGAAAACAAGTTGCTGCTGATTACAGTAACTGCAGATAGTTCCACTCCTCCTGGTGAAGTAAGTTATTTTTTTTTAATATTAATTAATATACAATTTTCTTAGAGAAAAACTTATTTGTCCCGTCTTATTTTTGTTAAATTTTATAAAACATTACTTTTTCATCCTTTAAAATTAAATATTTCTTAAAAATAAGAAAGTATTATTAATATTGTTTGTATTGTACGAAGGCGTAGAAGGGACAATTACACTAAATTCATTTACTACGAAGGCGTAGAAGGGACAATTACACTAAATTCATTTTTATTATTTAATTCTGCGTTAGCTAACACAGAATTAAATATGTCGGATTTAATTCTGTGTTAGCTAACGCAGAGTTAAATATTGCGGATTTAATTCTGTGTTAGTTGACGCAGAATTAAATATGGCGGATTTAATTCTGTGTTAGCTAACGCAGAATTAAATATGGCGGATTTAATTCTGTGTTAGCTAACGCAGAATTAAATAATAAAAATGAATTTAGTGTAATTGTCCCTTCTACGCCTTCGTAGTATTGCAATGGAAAATTTTTAATGCGTTTATGTGTTTTTTTGCAATATTTTACCTGATTTTACCATTTATCTGCATGTTAAAAATTTAGGTACATATACCTAAAAGGCGCACCAAAATTGGATTATACTTTTTAAGGTTTGTATGTAAGTATAATTTTAAATAATATATACCTATTTTGTATAAATATTTTTGTACCAAATTCAATATATTAACTAGGTAATTATTATTTTATGTTTGTTTAAGGATCCAGGTCCTAGTCTTACAAATAATGGTGCAATGGATAGTGAGGTACTCAGAGGCCAAAGATGTGATAAAAGATTTAATGTTAACAGATGACCAAGGCATTCCATAATAATAATGAATATATGTTTATTCAGTGTCATATTTGAAATACTGTGTATTTGTGCTCTCTAGTATAAGTGGTAGCGTTTTTATTTATTTGGTTTACTTATTTTTATTATATTTAATAAACTATATAACCAAAACTTGAAGAGGTTTTTTACAATTTAAAAGTGATCCTGCTGTTTCAGTAAGTACATTTGAATCGTGTAAAATTAAAAATGAACATATCACACAAATGTTGTTTTGAGAAAAATACAAAAAACTGCCAAAAACTTCACAGGTGGAAAAACGATAATTGTTAAATAATGTATTGTAGGGCATTTTTTTAATAAATACATTATATTTTTTAACAATCTGGACAAGTCCAGATTTAAAATAAAAGATGATTTTTTATATATAACCAACTAATACTGTACATTTACTATACTGTATATTTTAGTTTTAGTTTTATTTCGCTAAAAATTTGACTTGATTCGACCCGACTTATTTAAATAATTATAAGTCAATAATTATAGTGGTGACTCACCACTGGTGAGTAAAATTTTGGGGGAAAATGTTAAGCTATAAAATTGTAGTTCAAAATATAATTCATCATACATTCTAAACTCTACCCAAAAAGAATTACAATAAAAACATTACTATTATAGTTGAAATTGCAAGATATTTATATATGTTATAACATATAATAAATATATAGTAACAGGCCCCGAAATATTATCTGCCTAAAAACGACACTCAAAAATATAAAAAACTACAGGGACTCAAAATATTTATTTTTAATTATTTCTAATAGCAAATGGGCAAGGCTTTCTAAAGTGGATCCTGAATTTACGAATGATCGGAATTTTATAACATTTTTTTTCAAAAGGTCTTCTACAATCCTTTTTTTCTTTCGTTTAATAGTATATTATGTATCAAGTTTGAGAAACGCCATTTTATAAACGGATTTAATTTAGGCACGAGCGAGCTTAAATTAATGAGTGTATAGAAAAGTTTATAAACGAGGTGCATACTATACTTTTTCTAAGACAAATACTTATTATTATCTTAAAATGATTTAAATCAAAAATTTGTATAGAGCGCCATCTATGAAACAACAGGGGAAACTGTCAAATGTCACATTTTTACATTTTATAAACACAATTATAAAGGTTATATATCGAAATGTATCTTGAAAATTGACAGTTTTTCACAGTGAAAGTAAAGGAAATGTTTTATGAGGACTTTACAGTCGAGTCCCGAATTTAAGTTATAGTTTACTGCCGGCGAAATTAAAAGGTCAGTACAATGTTCATATAAACTTTTCAAATATTGGCGTTGAGAAACTATTTAATATTTTCGTATTTTTGTATTAAGATAATAAAATAATTTTCACATTTAGTATTATTTTACAAGAAAGGCACTTTATTTTAACGATTGTATGACATTTGACAACTGTCAACTAACTTAAAACTAACTTCAGCCCGTGACTAAAGGGTCGTAAAGCCACAACTTGTCAATGTGTATTTAAAAAGTCACTTAGTGTCATGGAAACATGTACAATAAAGGGCGTTTTAAAGGTGGGAGTAGAAAAAAGTAATTTATATAACGTGAAAATTATTTTTAAAAATAAGAAGTTTAGTTAGGTTTATATAATATTTAAATTATAAAATAAAATTTAGTTGCAGTTAGATTGTTTAGTTTTAAATTAATTTCGTTTATTATAACAAAAAAACTCATAAAAACAAACGCATCTGACCCTTCCCAAGTAGCACAACTAGTTAAATAACTAGCATTCTAAGTAAATTAACCAAAATCTAAGTAAAATAACGTTTTTTTAAACTTGTTTTTTAACCACCCAGCAAACAAAACCGTAAAGGTTCTGTAATGGCCCTTTAAACGCGTGCCTTTAATAAACTAAAGGCCCTATAAAGGCTGACTTTAATGGAACTCTACATATTATGTCGCGTTCACCTTTTATGGGCATGTAACGGCAGTCGATAAAGACACTTACAAGAACCGCTAAAGGTTCCGATATGGCAGGTTAAAGGTACAAATGTGGCAAGCTAAAGGTTCTTATATGGGGTGTTAAAGATTAAATGTGGTACCTACCTATATATTTACTAGGTACGGATATTTCATGATAATTGAAATATTTTATCCCGACCGATTTTTGACGGTAGGGATAAAAATTCCCGATTATCGTGTAATATCCGACCTAATAAATATATACCTACCAAATTTAATCCACCATAATAGATAGGTCTTTACTATATAGATAACAGTCGGGACAAAAATTTCGTTATCATGGAATGTCCCTAAAACTTTCAAAAAATTAAAAAATACAAAGTGTTTAATGTGTTATAAAATACATGTAATTCAAACATAATTATAACATAACATATTTAATTGAAAAAAAACTTAACAAATATTATAAAATAAAATCAAATTTCTTTCAGTAAATAAAAAAAAATTAAAATAAGAAAAATTAATAATTTCATTGATTTTTTTCCTCTCGATTTTTACGACCATCATCCCTGTCGATTGCTCCCCTTAACCATGCTTTTATAGTATTTTCAATATCTTTTGTATTGGCTAATTCAAATTTTAGCCTAACCGTTTCTAAAAATTAATTAATTTTTACTTAAAAGTATCATTAGTAAAAGAATATATTAACCTAGGTTATTAAATAGTACGACATTAATGTAAAAATTGTACAGTAAAAATACTTACTTGAAAAAGGTAGTACCTAGTTGTTTAGTTCATTAATAATTAATTATAAAATACACCTATTAGATAATTAATTAATATATCTCAAAACCTATATTATTTTTCTATATGCATATGCATAATACCACTAACATGAGGCAATTCATTAGTAAATATGGTGTAAAGGAAAGGAAAACATTTGGCACTGTAATGGTGTGTTACAGTTCCATTAACTTGATACTTATAATTGCCATTTTTGGGCCTTTAATGTTAAATTATACATATCATTGCCTGAAAAGGGCCATTGCAAGACCTTACCACGACAGCCTTTGGTCTAAATTGACATTTATTAACGAAAAATTCCTGTAGAGGCCCAGTACAAGAACAGCTTGGGTTAAAAATGCCATCATTTAACCATTAAACGCTGTAATGGGCCATTACATTACCAGACTTATGTGTTTGCTGGGCAATTAGTTGTATTTAACCATTAACATTTTTTAAGGTTACTATGAACTAAAAAATAACCCTTTAAATTTACCAACCGGTTGCTATAACCTTAAGGTAAATTTAAAGGTTATTTTTTAGTATAATTTATCTAATAAAAGAAACCTATTGGTAATGTTACTAACTAGTTAATTATTTAAATTATTTTAAATGGTTAAAATAAGCTAAATAAGTTAAATATTTGGTTTATTTATAGTCAATTTAAACTCTTTAAAAAACTTTAATTTACTTAAAGGTAAATATAGGTTATTTCAAGAGTTTCACTTGACTATAAATAAACCAATTGGTTTATTTATAGTCAAGTGAAACTCTTGAAATAACCTATATTTACCTTTAAGTAAATTAAAGTTTTAAAAGAGTTTAAATTGACTATACATAAACCAAATATTTAACTTATTTAGCTTATTTTAACCATTTAAAATAGTTAAGAGTAGTTATTTTTTAGACATATTTTGGTTTAGTTTAACTTTTGATATAACTTTTTGGTAAATTTACCACAGCATTGGTTAATTTGGATATATTTTTTAAACCAACAAGTTATATTTTACCAAATATATATTAACTTGCTGGTAAATTAACGTTAATTAATAAACTTAAAAAAGTGATGGTTTTGCAGTTCTCAATGTTACCTGCATAGAAAAAGTAGTCTTTATACAGCTTTATATATAAACCTATAGGTTAACCTACAATTGTGAGTGTTGTGTGATAATGGAGCCTAAAAGAAATAATTTAAAAAAATATAGACTTTCTTCATTATTTACCTGCAAATCTTAAAACAATCCCCTCACATTTAATTAATTTGGTAAGCATCTATTGGTTTTATCAAAGATGCGTTTTAATAAAGCAGTGCTGCAACTAAAATCAGAATGTAAGATCGGCGTAAACTTTTTTAGGTTAGTTATTTTAAAAATAACAAGTTATTTAAATTTAACTAATTTTGGTAATTAATAACTATAATGTGTTACATTAACCAAATTTAAACCTAAACCAAAGAGTTATAAATTACCGATAGGGAAATAAAGTAGTTAAATTAAACACAATAAAATAACCAAATGGTTTAAATAAACTTGCAGGTTAATTTATATTGGTTATATAACCAATAAGTAAAAGCATACTAAAATCGCCATATTGTTTGCTGTCCATTTTAACAAAAGCAAATGCCAATAATTTTAATAATTTGTTTTATTGCAAAAATAAGGTAATTTAAACAAACCAATAATAAAACATAATATTATTTTATGTTTAAAAGTATTTTAAATTAATTTCAAACAAAATAAAGAAAAATTGAGCAAAAAATATTTTTTTTTAAATTTTTATTTTCTTTATTTCTTATTTTTTTCAAAGCGCATGTAAAATATGAAAGTATCATGTACTACTTCATCAAAAAAAAATGCCCAACTGGGTTTTCCCTTTGAACTTTCTCTTTAAGACATCAATTAATATATACATTAGGGTGTCCCTTATTTTTATTTTTTTTTCGCATACCCTCTAATTATATTTATTACTTGTTTATATACTCCCAGTAAAAATTTCAGCTCATTCTATAAACGGGAACCCGTGCCGACTTGCATCTGAACCCTCCGTTAGCCAACCTTAGGCGCTCGCGGTATTTTGTAACACGAAACACTTTAAAAAGAAGATATACTTCATGACTGTATTTTTCTAATGATTTTATTAAATATGATTACTAATTAATATTATTGCTTTTGTTTCTATCATTTGTTTCACTAATTTAGTTGATTTTATCCCTTAAATATATTGCTAGTATTGCTAAAATATACTGTTATATGAAATTTCAGCTTTTTATAATCATTTCTTTTCTTGATGTCCTCCCAAAAATATTTCAGACAGTTCAATAAGTTTTCGGTAGTCATCTCTCACAATAGACTCTTTTAGTTATTTAGAGTAAAACCCATTAAGTTTATCAATTTCAGAGTTTACGGCCTATTCAACAGACCCCTCCGGGTAACTAGCCACTCCCTGTGAAAATATACATTTTTATCAAAGTATACAAATAAATAAAACTATAACTAACGTTGGCTAACGGATGGTTCAGATGCAAGTCGGCACGGGTTCCCGTTTATATAATGAGCTGAAATTTTTACTGGGAGTATATAAACACGTAATAAATATAATTAGAGGGTATGCGTAAAAAAAATAAAAATAAGGGACACCCTAATATACATATATGAGTATTAATATTTAGGGGCGACATTTTATTTTAAGGATCTGTTAGTCATATCTATAGATACATATACATAACCATATTTAATAAATATTTAGTGAAAATAAACTTAAACCAGTTCATTATAGTTTAAATGAACTTAAGAGTTAAAAAGTAGTTAAAAAAGGGTAAAATAAACCAAAAACTACCAAATATTAACTTCTTGTTAACCAAAAGGTATATTAACCAAGAAGTTACATTTAACTAACATAACGTTAATTTTACCATAATTGAATTCCCCACTTATTACAAAATAACGTTAATTTAAGGTTAATTTAACGTTGTAGTACAATATTACTTAAATGAATTAACCAGACATAACGTAAATTTAACGTTAATTTAACCAGTTGTGCTACTTGGGTTAGTAAATTCAGGGTCTACTTCAGAAAGCCTTACGCAAATTTAATAAGAAAATGGAAGATAATATCAAATGTAAGATCAAAAATATAAAAAATAATATTACTATACTTTAGTATAGAAGCTAAAAGAAAAACAGATTTACAGTTGGCTATTAACTGAGGTCCTTTAGCCTGTAAACTGATATAGTTTTTCCTTAATTGTAAAATATATATATTCTTTTTATACTCACCTCCAAAAAAAAAGTCCACGAGAAATTGGCCACGGTTAGCGAGTTATGAGCCAAAAAGGAAAAAAACTCCCCTTTCGGGGGATGAAATTCGGGGACGAGAAAAGAAATTTTTGGGGAATATTCTTGATTCATTATCAGCACCCCTGACTGCATAAAAAAAAATAAAACTCGACTACCATCGAGTTTTCCTTCTACAATCTTTGTTTCCTGGACTACTTATGGAAAACCAAAAAATAGGGTGTTAAATGATGCAAATTTGTAGTACGTTAAATAATTTATTTTTTATAAAACTTAAACAATATAATATATTAACGGAAATACTTGATTCCGACTACTGCCATAAATTTTTCAATAAACAATTCCGAGTCCAAAACAGCAATATGCGCCGCCCTACCGATCAAAGCGTTCGCTGTATTGGGCAAGGCGTGGTGTATGTCGTATCTTAACAGTTTCAGTTCTTTTTGAGATATTATAGGAGACATTATGTTGTGTACCATTTCGCGGTATATCGTGCCCAATTCAGACGAGTCTTTTATCGACTCCTTGCACAACTCTATTCTGGCCGAATGTAAAGGAACATACCTAAAAATTATATGATTTAAATTAAACAATTGAAACCATTTTTTTAATTAACAATTAAATATTAAATGATTCATTAATAATACATTTTTTACAATAATTGTAATAGCTAACATCAGAGCTGTGTGTTTTAATATTGTACTGTTAGGTACATAAATATTATTTGGTACTCTATGAAAGCGTACTGGGTTCACAAAATTATAATTAAAATACCTATTGTTTTCAATATATTATAATAAAGTCCATATATATATAGTTGGTTAGTTTACAAACTAGCTAAAGCTTGGCTATTTTGTGTTACTAGAAATTTTGGTTTTCATATTAGCCAAACTGAATTGGATAGTATATAAACTATCCAGCTATTTTAGTTTTCCTAATAATTTCAAGTAAATTAGCCAAGATCCTTGGTTATTTTGTAAACTAGCCGCTAATTTAGTTGAAAATATGTTTTCAATTAAAATACCTGACAGTTTGGCTAGTTTATAAACTATCCAGCTAGTTTATATATATGTTTTTTTTCACCACTAGGGGCGCTGATTTAAAATTTGTACTGACATCTAGAGTTTTGTTACAGTACCTACCTATTAATAACAATGTAGAAAGGTGAAAATATCACAGCTAAACGCTCGGACACAGAAACTTAATTTTTGGTCGTAGATTACAAATCTGTGCTTGGTTTAGCTGTATCAGGTCAAAATTCAAATATATTTAATATTCAAGTTTTGGAGCATCCCATTGGGATAAATTTAAAAAAATCAATTGGGCTCCAAATTAAAAAAAAACAAATTCTTGCACAGATTTTTAATTTGAAAATTTACCTACAGTGTAGAGCAATTTTTATGGCTTGCATTATATTACAACGGTTTTTCAGTGGAACAGTGTAAACTTTACACGTGGCGTAACAAATTCTGAGTGGGCTCCCCCGCAAACGATTTTAATGGGCCCCCTTTACAATGAGTAAAAAGTTTATTGTTACCTTTAGGTAATTTTTAAATTAGTTTATCATAGTACTTTTAAACCCACATTAAATACATAATATTTTTTAGTTAAAATTTTTTACAGGTAGATAAAGAGTGTATACGATAGACAGGCATAACTTATGTCACATACGATAAGCAAATAAAAAAGGATTAGGTAAGAAAAATGGCTGTGTTTTTAATAAAAACTGTTTATCGAAAATATGCTTCTTTGCAAATTCGCTCATGCGTAAAAACTTATTTAAGTTCATGTGTAGGTAGTTATCGTTTGTTAACGGAATTATAATTATATATAAACAGAAAATATTTGGGTAATTATTATTTAAATATTTTTTTAAAATAATCCTATTATAGAATTACGAAAATGATCCTGCAAATAAAAAGGTATATAGAATAAGATTTTTTAAACTAAAATTAATTAAATATTTTCTGTTTCACTACCAAAAAAATTGCAGATACAGCCTGTATCTGCAATTTTTGGTAGTAAAACAGAAAATATATAATTAATTTTGGTTGCCTCTTTATCCACCATGGTAATTCTATAAAGTTAATATTTTGTCGTATTGCATTTAATTTAATTTTTTAAAAATTGTTAAATTTTAACTATTTTTAACAAATAATGTTTGCATAACTTTCAAACCAAATAAACATAGAATTAAAATATAACAAATAACATTGTTAATTTAGCAAATATTAACATTTGGAAAAGCGTTTAATAGATGGCGCTACAACTGCATTTTATTTCGTGCGCATGTTCAAAATCAACGAATTAAATAAATATTTTAAACAAAAAATACTTATACGTTTAGGTTTTTAGGATTTTTATTTTTTTTTAAGATGAAATATTTAAAAAATTAAATATTTCTTTAATTTATTGGTTTAAACTTTTAAAAGAGTGAGGTGAGCCTTGGGCCCCCTGACCGTCTGGGCCCCCCCGCGGTGCGGGGTCTGCGGGGGTGCTTATTACGCCACTGATTTAAAAATAAAAATTTATAATTGGGATACGATGCGTATAATTTCTGTTAAATACTTTTTGAATATATCTACTTAACTCTTCAAATGGAAATGCTCTAGTATAGTAGGTAGACCTTAAACAGGTTAGTAATATATTACTTTACAGTGTAAAGTAATATATTACTAACCTGTTTAAGGTCTACCTACTATACTAGAGCATTTCCATTTGAAGAGTTAAGTAGATATATTCAAAAAGTATTTAACAGAAATTATACGCATCGTATCCCAATTATAAATTTTTATTTTTAAATCCTTGACTTAATTGTTTAAGAGGTGATTTTGTTATATTTGCACAATTTATTTTAGAAATCGATTAATCGGCTTAAATCGGCTTAAGTAACGGATTTCAGTTGTGATCCACGGACCTGATTTTTTTCGGGATACCTATACGGATTTTTGATGTGTATACTGCTCAAATTAAAACAAAATCAGATACAAAAAAATTAAAAACTGCCCTTTCATTTAATTTATTTAAAACCCAGTAATTCAAAACATCAGATTAAAATAATAAAACTACGTAGTATGTACTATGCTCCACACTTCAAAGTCCCACCACGTGACCAGGTACGGAACGCAGTCTTTTGAAAATTTGTCATTTAAGGCTTTTTAGGTTATGTATCTGTCAAAGTATAGTCTATGAAAGAAATAATATTTATACTGTTACCGTTTATGTTTAAGCGTTAAAAGTTCATAAATCTTTATAGTATCACAGTAACAATGGTTGGTTTAAGAGTTTAGGAGTATAAATACTGCATTTAATGAAATTCTAAAGTGTATAGTGCCAAATAAGTAAAATTTTTGTGCATTTGGTCAACCTAATATGTTAATATATTATAATATATATATCTGGTTTTATCCATTAAAAAGTTTTAAGTAAACGGCATTTATTAAAAAAATCTAGTTTCTCTATTATGGAATAAGAATATCTGTATCAAAGGTAGGTTAATATATTATAACAAAAAATATCATCTAATTTTAAAATTTTAAGGTTAGAAAAATCTATTTTGATCAAAATAAATAAGTATTTTGGATTATTTGGAAGAGTATGTTAATATGGTCATATAAATATAGATATACTAAATAATTGTTGAATATGGTTCAAATTAAATTAAAGCTTTTATACTCCTAACAACAAAACTTGTGCATACCTCTCGGGATCCCTACTTTAAGTTAGATTATAAGGAAACAAACAATTTTTAGAGATAAATGCAATGTAAAAATATTTAATACTCCCATAACATAGTTCCTTACACTGTCAGCTAATATACCCATAGTGTCAATACAAGTACCTATAAAAGCTTCGACAAAATTTTATCTACATCGAACAATCATTAGGTATAAATAACCTTATAAATTCTAAAATTTAAATAAAACCACAGTATACTCCATCTAATATTTTTACTTGTAGTAGTCTTTCTTATCCAGCTTAAAGTATACCTACATAAAGTTTTGTCAATACAATTACGTATAAAGCTTCAACTGAATTTTATCTTCATTGAAAAATCATTATAACTTTTAAAAATTTAAAAAATCACATGTTATGGGAGTATTAAATATTTTTACATTGCATGTATCTCTAAAAATTGTTTGTTTCCTTATAATCTAACTTAAAGTAGGGATCCCAAGAGGTATGCACAAGTTTTGTTGTTAGTATAAAAGCTTTAATTTAATTTGATCCATATTCAAGAATTATTTAGTATATCTAAATTTATATGACCATATTAACACACTCTTCCAAATAATCCAAAATACTTATTTATTTTGATCAAAATAGATTTTTCTAACCTTAAAATTTCAAAATTAGATGATATTTTTTGTTATAATATATTAACCTACCTTTGATACAGATATTCTTATTCCATAATAGACAAGCTAAATTTTTTTAATAAATGCCGTTTAGTTAAAACTATTTAATGGATAAAACCAGATATATAATAATAATAATAATAATAATAATATTTATTTCCACAGAATATAACAATACAGCATATTATTACATTTTAGGGGTCGTCACATTAAGATATACATACATGAAATAAATAAATAGTAAATAACAAATCATATATAAGACAAACAATATAACAATTATTTCATAAATATAAAAATGTTTTTAATATGTTAACTATCGGAGAAAAAATCTTCGAGACTATAGTAGCATTTGTCGATAAGAATTTGTTTTAGTTTAAATTTTAAGTTATTTAAGTTGGCTTGTTGAAGACATTCGTATTTTTTTAAAAGATGATTGGTGACTTTAATACCTAAAGATCTTGGATTTTTTTGGCAAGTGCTAAGTCTATCAAATGGTTGCTGCAGATTATTGCGTTGCCTAGTTTCGTAGTTATGGAATTCGTGTCTTTTTGTGTTTATATTATTTTCTTTAATGAAAACAACCAGTGAGTATATGTACAGGCTAGCAAGAGTCATAATTTTTAATTTCTTAAAAATAGGTTTGCAAGAGGTACTTTTTGAGACCCCCTCTATGCACCGTATAGCCTTTTTTTGTAAGACAAAAACTTTGTCTATTTCACTGGATGATCCCCAGTAGAGCAAACCATATGATATAACTGATTGTATAAGACCAAAATACAATAGTTTTAGTACATCAAGTGACACTGTACCTTTTAGATTAAATAACAGGTAACAATGGCTGCTAAGTTTAGATACTAAGGATCCAATATGCTTTGACCAAGTAAGTTTAGAGTCTAGCTCTAGACCAAGAAATTTTGTGCTGGATACATTTTTAATCGAGCTGTTGTTAACTCGTAATAATAGTGAGTAGTCAATACTTTGATTTTTTGTAAAAAACTGCATGGCAACTGTTTTTGACGAGTTGAGTTGGATGCCATTTTCAAGACACCACTGTGTCATATTTGTTATCACATGTTGTGCCTTAAAGATAGCATCACCTATATTTGTATCTGAAATCACTGCATTGGTATCGTCTGCGTATAGGACGGCAGTTGCGTTATTGTCTATTTTTGGAATAAGATCGTTAATAAAGCAGTTAAACAAAGTAGGCGATATACAAGATCCCTGAGGTGTGCCCCTTGTGATTTTTTGGGTTTTCGATCGAAAACCCTCAATCACCACTTGCTGGGTTCTACAGCTTAAGTATGATTTAATCCAGTCTAGTGCTGGACCACGTACACCCATTTTAAACATTTTTTCAATGAGCAAATGGTGATCGACGGTGTCAAAGGCCTTACTCATATCAAAAAATATACCAAGTGTTCGGGTTTTGTTATTAAGAGATTTATAAATACTATCGAGAGCCTGGTCTAAAGCAGTATAGGTAGATCGCTTTGGTCTAAAACCATTTTGATTTGGAAAAATTAGGGAATGCTTCTCCAGATATTCCAAAAGCCTCGAGTTATAGCAACTTTCAAAAATTTTCGAAAAGTGGCACTGCAGGGCAATCGGTCTATAGTTGTCAGGGTCATTGGCATCGCCCTTCTTTTTGTATATAGGTACAACTTTTGAGGTCTTTAGAACATCTGGAAAAGAGCCTTCAGTAAAGCTTTTATTAATAATTTTTGCTAGGGGTTGTGATAAATGAATACCTACCAATATGTAGACCAAATGCACAAAAATTTTACTTATTTGGCACTATACACTTTAGAATTTCATTAAACCAACCATTGTTACTGTGATACTATAAAGATTTATAAACTTTTAACGCTTAAACATAAATGGTAACAGTATAAATATTATTTCTTGCATTGACTATACTTTGACAGATACATAACCTGCCTCAGGGCTCAGTCCTTGGACCACTTCTTTTTCTTATTTATGTGAATGAACTACCTATATACAACAATCTAGCTAACCATATACTTTTTGCTGATGACACAACGATTCTCGTGAGCGGAGGCGATTTGAGTGATCTAGTAGAGGCATCGCTGGGTGCGCAGTCAAGGGCTGCAACATGGTTTTGCGATAACAAACTTTGTTTAAACGAAACAAAGACGGTAAATGTCCTGTTCTCACTCTCTAGGGAAGGGCTTTTAAATTTCAACCCAACAACAAAATTTTTGGGTGTAGTAATTGATAATAAAATAAGTTGGAAAAATCATGTGGATGAGGTTGCAAAAAAGCTTAGTAAAAATATATATTTGTTACGAAATCTCTCAAAATCTGTATCACTTCCTGTATTAAAGACAGCATATTTTTCATTGTGTCATTCGTTACTGTCTTATGCAATATTAGTTTGGGGTCAGGCTGCAAACTGGCATCGAATATTTTCCTTACAGCGTAGAGCGGTAAGGATAGTATCCGAACTAAATTATCGCGAAGACTGTCGAAGTAAATTTTCTGAACTTAAAATTCTCACTTTTCCGTCCATTTTCATTTTTGAAACTTTGGTTTATACCAAGCTTAATTTGACAAAGTTTGAAAATAATAACTCCAACCATCTGCATAACATAAGGTTGCCAGTTTGTAGACTAACCAAAACCCAAAAGACAATAAGTTATCTTGGACCCAAATATTATAATAAAGTGCCTAAATCTATAAAATCTATGGATTTAAACTCGTTTAAAACCACGATAAAAAAAATACTTATACAAAAAGCCTTTTATTCTTTTGACGAATTTTTAAATGGAGAACCTTTTTAATATACTTGTTTGTTTTTAAGAATGTGCATGTATGAACTATATACTAATTTTCAATGTTTTATTTTGTGACCAATGTACTAAACTATTTCATTATTGTAGTTTTTATCATGTCCTTTGACTAGCAAATTTTATTATTTTTTAAGACATATGTAAATACTATCTGTATAATAACATGAATAAATTATTATTATTATTATTATTAAAAGCCTTAAATGACAAATTATCAAAAGACTGCGTTCCGTACGTGGTCACGTGGTGGGACTTTGAAGTGTGGAGCATAGTACATGACAAAATTTGATAAAAAATAAATACCTAGCCGACTTGGGACCAGAAAAAATGGATACAGTATTACCAAAAAATTAATACTTTTTCGATTTTTTTTTTCATATTAGGTCTAGTTTTTTAATGTTTTTAATTTTAAATTATTTTTTTTTAAATATAAAAAATTGTAATTTTGAAAAAATGTCCATTGAAATCGATTTTTATACGCCAAAACATATGTACAAGTTTTTTAATTTTGAAAATACCATATTTTTTACCAATGTAGAAACATCAACAACAAAGTAATAATAATAAAATGTTTTTAATGCGTTGGTCCAAAATATTTGGATTTTAAAAATAAAAAAATATACTTAGGTTTTTGGAGTAAATAAATCCATTTCCACGGTTATTTTTTGGAATGACAATTTTTTATATTTAAAAAAAATTATAAATTAATTATATCATATCAATATTTCAAAAACTAGAGCCAATAGGAAACAAATTTAAAAACAGTACCTATTAAGTTTAAAAAGTTTAAAAATGATGGGACAAATTCGCACAGTAGTTCAAAATAGTGAACAAAATTCGGAAATAAGCACACATTTGTAAAAATGTCAAATTTGTATGTGTAAATCGAAATTTATTCCTTGAAAATGGACTAACAACAGTTTTTCACAGTGAAAGTAAAGAAAATGTTTTATGGGCGGAGTCTCCACCCGAAATTAAGTTAAATCTAGTTTACTGCCGGCAAAATTAAACGGTCAGTACAATTTTCAATTAACTTTTTAAATATTGGCGTTGAGAAAATATTTAATACTTTTGTTTTCTTGTATTGATATAATAAAATAATTTTTACATTTATTATTATTTTACAAGATGCGTACTTTATTTTAACGATTTTATGACATTTGACAACTGTCAAATAACTTAAAACTAACTTCAGCCCGTGACTAAAAACCTGTTGACAACTTTAGCCCGTGACTAAAAAGCCATAAAGCCCGTACATGTCAATGTGCATTTAAAAGGTCACTTAGTGCCATAGAAACATGTACGATAATCGGTGTTTTAAAGGTGAGATTAGAAAAAAATACAAAAGTTATATTTATTTTGGTGTATTTAAATATTCTTAAAATATATTTACCTGTCTTGTCCTGATCCACACAATAAAATGTTTTTAAAATGATGTAAAGTACTTCTTTGACTGAGCCGATAGAGAAAAGATTTTCTCGAATCAGTGGCATCTTTCAAACATAGTTGTAATAAAGAACCTGACTTTTTCCATTTTTGCATAAACCACATACCTAAGAAAAACATGTTTGGCTATAAAAATATTATTTAAAAGAAAAATTAATTCTTACCCATATTAACTAATCCACTACTGTTGTATAAAGTTCCTAAATGTGGTCCAGATAGGGATAAAAACGTATGCAGTCTTGGAAGAAGAAACTTCATTTGTGGTCTGGTAAGAGCTGATCGAATGATTATGTTACCCAATGAATGACCCACGAAACTGATTCTAGTTGGTCGTATACTACTTGTGTCTAAGTAATGCAAAATTTCACTTACAAGGCTGAAAATCAAAAATTATATTTAAAATAATTGGATTATTATATATGTCTTGGCAAATGTTACTTAAAATGTCAAAAAATTGACTTGGTTCCTCCTAATAACAAGCGGTTCAAATATATATTTGAAATGCGATACCAATAGTAATACGTATTACAATATAAACTATTGCCTTGGACATCTGACAGAACTAATATTACTTTAGTGTTTTTGAAAGTTAATTTTTTGCTTTGTTATGATTGTCGTAGAAAATAGTATATTAAATGTCATAAGACGCTATTTTGTCGCACGCGGACAATTTATAATTTTGTAATGGACGAGTGCGACAAAAAGTCTTATGACATGAGTTCTTTATGCTATTTTATCTATTTTGTAAAAATTCTATAAACAAAATTAATTTAACCCCTTCAATTTAATTTGGTCAAATTTTACTTTAGATAGTTGGTATCACAGTCATTGGTTTGACAGTTAATGTGAAAATCGATTCGCCATGCCGTTCTTAATTTACTTATTTACAATAAGCGGCTGTTAATGTTAAAGAAGGAAAAAAGGATTTTCTTTGGTGTTAAACAAAATTTATTTAAGTCTCGTAAGTACTAGAAAAATCATAAAAATATTATAACCAATATGCAAAATATTATGCTGTTTATATACACGGTGCTGTTCTGAGAGGTGATTTTTGGACTTTCTGTGAAACCTAATTTTTTTATATTCTTGTTAATTAGGTCATAACTAAAATTTTAAGAGCAAAATAAAAAAAATTTGACGGTTAATTTTGTTTTAATTGGATGATTATTAAAAATATGTATGCAAACTTTCAATTCTCCAATTAAAACTTGCGATTTTATTTAAATATTATCATAGCTTTTTAAATCAGATTAAAGATTAGTTAATTTCCTAAAAAAAGGTCTAAACATTTTTTATAACTTTTACTGTTTTGTTGTAATACACGTTTAAAGTTTTAATTTAAGGTTAAATGTATAGTATACATTTATTAAACAATAATTCTAAGGGTGCCACATTTTATTTAGGGCCGATTTATTCATTTTTAATTTATTTAACGAATAATTTCTTTGGATACTAGATATTGCCAAGACATGAAAGTTATCGGCCCGATAAACTTTACTAAAGATGAATAAACCGGTCCTTAGTTAAATTTCATAAATTTCTTCGTAACTTTTACTACAATTTTTCATTTTTGTTTATAAAAAACACTTTAAAAAACTAAACAAAAATTATAGAATACGTATACTGAAAATGACAATTCAAACGTCAAATAAATTTTTAATAGATCTAAGTTTCATGGCAACCTTTAAGGATATATTAATTAAGGGAACATAAATGTATACGTCAAAGGTTAGATTAAAAGTTTGAACGTTTATTGCAACAAAACAGTAAAATATATAAAAAAAATTGTAAAAACCTTTTTTTTAGTTATGCAAATATTAAATATTTAAAATTAAATCGCTAGTTTTAATTGGATAATTGAAAGAGTGCATAATATTTTTAATAAACAGCCAATTAAAACAATTCAAACCGTCAATTTTTTTTTTATTTTGCTCTTAAAATTTTAGTTATGACCTAATTAACAAGAATATAAAAAAAATTAGGTTTCACGTAAAGTCCAAAAATCACCTCTCAGAACAGCACCGTGTATAGCCAATCTAAAAATCAAAATTTTGGGTGGGATAAAGTATCTCATTACAGCACCGAAAGCGGTGTTATAATGAAGTCATTATGAACGCAAAATAGATAAAATAGTGTATGCAACTACCATTGAATGGGCTATTAAGAAACTCGGACTCATTATGACATTCTCTTGCTTATGTCTTAATAGTCATCATTAAATGTAGTTGCATAAAATGCTATTGTTTAATATATCCCGCATGGTCTAAAGTCTATTCAAATCCAAGCTAAACTAAATGTAAACACAATCCTCCAAATAGACCAATAAGAAATCACAATCCCAGTCACACGACCAGAATCGACAAATAAGAACGAGTTATCATGCGTCTGGGCGTGTTTGTTTAGTCGAGCTTGGATTTGAATAGACTTTAGTGGTTGGGATGACTAGCTCTTAATAATGTTGTAATCTCATTATTAATATGACAAATAAATGTCGCTCATCCAGAAGGTTTGGGTACCAGAATACTTTTTTTGTGAAAAGAGTTCAGAGCCTATTTAAATTAATAAGATCAAAAATGTATAAAGATATTTCAAATATCGACAAGTATTACATATTAATTTTATTTTTCACGGTATAACTATAGTTATTAAAACAAAGTTATAATCGTTATAAGTTGAACGTTGGTTGCGATTATATTTAAAACGTTTACCTACATTACTAAAAAAACTAAAGAAACCTTTTTTGTGCATCAGTTACTTTTCAGAAAATATTTGTACTTGTTATTTCAAAATCCTAACTATTCTGCGAGTTTAAAACTTTATAGTCTAATTTGAAAATAAAATTGTAAAAAGAAGGATCTTACTATTAAATTAAAGAGTTCATAAGTATAGATTTTTTAACGAAAAAAAGTAGACCCACTGGAAAAAATAATATTTCTACAATGTTACTGAACGTTACATTTGTTAAGTGTAATGTTACAAAAATCCTTGTGGCAATGTTGCAGGAACATTGCAACAAAGCCTTATGGTTTAGGCACATTACATTTACTAATAAAATGTTGCTTAAATGTATTAATTGTAATGTTACTAAATCTTATTTTTGTTAATGTAAAGTTCCTGCAACATTACATTTGTTAGGTGTAATGTTACAAAAATCCTTGTGGCAATGTTGCAGGAACATTGCAACAAAGCCTTATGGTTTAGGAACATTACATTTACTAATAAAATGTTGCTTAAATGTATTAATTGCAATGTTACTAAATGTTATTTTGTTAATGTAAGGTTCCTGCAACATTACAGGAACATTGCAATTAAATAAATATGAATTACTATAATAATAATTAATCTCGTAATTAATCAAGCATCAAGCTCGGCACTGTTCACTTATAAAGATATAAATGACCAGGACAGCGGCGAGATGCCTCGGCAAGTCAGTCTGCAAACAACATTGCAAAAATTCGCAAATTGCAATATTGCGGATGAAACATTGTCCAAAACTAAAGTTATAATTATAAATGTAATATTATAGTTACAATGTTTCAAAAATCTTGCAAATTAAATGTTTATATTGTTTATATAAAGTAACATTGCAAAAATCATCTTAATGTAATATTTCGGATGAAACATTGCCCAAAAATTATCAATGTAATATTATAATTGCAATGTTTCAAAAATCTTGCAAATTAAATGTTTATATTGTTTATATAAAGTAACATTGCAAAAATTATCTTAATGTACTTAATATTTCGGATGAAACATTGCCCAAAACTTATCAATGTAATATTATAATTGCAATGTTCAAAAAATCTTCCAAATTAAATGTTTATATTATTTATATAAAGTAACATTGCAAAAATCATTTTAATGTAATATTTCGGACGAAACATTGCACAAAACTTATCAATGGAATATTATAATTGCAATGTTTCAAAAATATTCCCAAACATTCCAAAATAAATGTTTCTATTGTATATTTAAAGTAAAGTTGCAAACATTTTTCATTTGAAAGTTGTGTTAATATTTCAATTAAAACATTGCAATATTATAATTGTAATGATTAAAAACTTGTTACATGTTACAAATATAATGTTGTAAAAAAATCCATGTGAATCTTTAAATAATGTTTCAAATTTAAGGTTGTTGGAAATTATTATATGCAATATTTCAAATGTAACATTTAATTTATGTTAATGCGAGTAGCATATGAAATATTTTATTTGTAAAGTCGGCGAACATTGCAGCAATATTTTGTAAGGTTTCTTTCCCAGTGGGTAATGTACCCTATACTATTTTTTCTTATTATATATGGAAATTGGAATGTATTTGTGACCTTTAAATAAATAAAACGCTTACCGATCAGTCATAGTCTCGAAATCGCTAAAGGTGTCCCCTTGATTTCTTTCCGACATGAGAAAATCAAGATATGCGCCGGGTAATCCCAGTTCCAAATATGTTTTGACAAGTCTTAAGTCAGCGGAATTGCCATCCAGGCCGTGAACACAAATTATAAGGTGCATCCCCTCGGGAGAAAATATCCTGAACTCGTCGCTTATGTGAAAATAAGGAACTGTTGAAGCAAACGAGTTTAGATCCGAGTATAGCAAACCAGGAAAATTTAATTGACTTTTAAATTCCTTTTTTCCTTTCAAGAACGTCTTCAGAGCTTCCGAGCCCGTTCCTTTGTACATTTTAAAGTCTGAAATGTTAATTTTAATGCATTAAAATTAAAGATTTCTTTTATTATTTATTAAGCTTGGAGTGACTAGAGTACAATAGATACAGGGTGTTATGTAATTAATGTTTTATATTAAAATGGGTTGTTCCTTAGGGTCCATAAAGAAGCACCTGAAAGTTTTTTTTCTAAATTCCAAAGTCTAAATATAATTTATAATAACCTTTATCCTACCAAAAAGTACGCCACTGATCGACTAGGAACTTTAGGTTAATCTGGTGGATTTATTATGTTATGGTTGGTAACAACTGTTTCCAAAATCTTTCAAAAAAGTTGCCAAGCATTGTTTAAATTTAGCTTAATTACAAAAATGACAAAATTAACAATGCAAATTGTCAATTTGGCGTTTTTATTAATTGTTGGTTATTTCATTTTTGTACTGAAGGTAAATTCAAACAAAATCTGCCAACTTTTATGACAGAATCTAGTGCATTTCTTTTAAATTTTAGGTTATGTTTTCAAATTGTAAATATCTTAACTAAGGGAAGTGCTTTTGGATTTATTTACACATATTAAATGTTTAAAGTTTAACCTGTGAACTGGTCCCAATTTCATCTGAGTAAACAGAGAAAAAAACTGATGAAAAAATTAATTTTGTGGTTATGGATTTCAAATTTCAAAGGTACTAAATTTTCTAATCATTGCTTAGGCGAATAGCTGGATCAGTAAATAAATACAGAAGGGTATTAGAGCTTTAAGGGCATAAAACTTTTATATTTATTGAGTTTTTATTTATTTTTTGCAAGAAAAATTTTTAGTAACAATTTTTTACATCTGGCAACGCATAGCTACTTTGTTGGTTGGTATCTATGTACTCACAAAATACAGGTGTGCAGAGATAAACAAGTGTGTAACCAGTGGCGTATCACAAAAAATATAAAAAAACTTCTAATGCATATTTTTTCTTTATCTTTGGAAAAATGTTTTTTTAAATATTTTTCCTTTATTCCTTATGTCAAAAGGTATTCAGTATTTTAATATATAACATTAATTACATAACACCCTGTATAAGCTGCATAGAGTACAATGGTACATAAAGTTGGCATTCATTCATCACGTTGCTCCGCCTACCTTCATTCTCTCTTGTTGTATTTAAATTCAATTGACTAGATTTCACTTCGAGAACAGTTTCGGTGTCGACCACGTGATAAAGTAAATTGTCGACGGCGTTGATTTCCTCCTCCTCCGCATCACTCTCCTCGTCGTCCTCCTCTCCATTATTGGTGCCGTTCGTAATTGAACTCGATGGAGATTCCATGTCCCGAAATTGTTTCGGAGGTGGCAAGGCAATGTCGTCCTCGCAGATGTTGTTGCTTTGGTTATTTTCACAGCCTTAATAAACACAATCGTTTAGTATCCTTAATATACTTATACGATTAAGTTCTGTATTTTTTAACCCCTTGGTTGTTAAATTTGTAAAGAAACTTTGTTATATAGTTTGTAATTAGTCTAAATTGAAACTTTCAGTTTTATGGATTAATTTAAATACGAGGTCAGAAACTTAATTAAAAAAACAATATTTTTTTATTCTTTACCACATTTAACATTCTATATAATATATTCTATATATTATATAGAACATATTGTATGATTCACCTTCTAAATGTCATTTAACATTCTCAAATATAACATTTATACACGGTGTGTCTGAACGAAGTTTAAGTCACATGAAAATGCCGCCAAAAACTGATTGCACTTTCTTGTTCGAGACCCTTTAGTGACTTAAAAATGATATTTACCAAAATCCTAGCTGCTCCTCTTTTCGAAATTTTTTGAAAATTCATGTTTTTTTTTAATTTTTGTTTTAGTCTACCTTTGACAGAGTACACATTTGTACACCGATTTTTATAAAATTAGAGTTTTTTATTGAGGAGATTTAAAGAATACTTTTTAATACTGTTCACATAATTTGATATATACAAAGTGAGCCAAAAATCGCTTATTTTTAATAAAGCAAAAGCGTAAATTCATGATTTTGGCATAACACGCAAAAAAGATTTATCCCCATTTTTTTTAGATATTTCTACGTTTATCAGGTTACAAAATGGCATTCTTACCTTTTATAAAAAAATAAGATTTTTAATAAAATTAAATAAAATAACGCTTACAGAATATTTAAAATGTTGTTTAATTTAGGCTTTTTAGTAGTTTTCAATTTTGAACGAAAAACTGGTTAAAGTTTTTTGATCGGCACTCTTTGGAGATTTAAAAACGGTATTTACCAACTTCTTTTTTTTTAAATTTGTTAAAAAATCATTTTTTTTTAAATTATTTGTTTATCGCAGTCTACCTTTGCCAGAGTACACATTTGTACACCGATTTTTATTGATTGCAGTTTCTTGTTCGGGACCCTTTGGTAACTTTAAAATGATATTTAACAAAAGAGCGATTTTTTGGCTAACCCTTTATATATTAAATAATGTGCACAGTATAAAAAAGTATTCTCCAAATCTCCTTAACAATATACTCCAATATTATAAAAATCGGTGTACAAATGCGTACTCTGTCAAAGGTAGACTTTAAGATAAACAAAAATTAAAAAAAAAAACATGAATTTTTAAAAAAATTTGAAAAGAGGAGCAGCTAGGATTTTGGTAAATATCATTTTTAAGTCACCAAAGGGTCCCGAACAAGAAGCTGCAATCAGTTTTTGGCGGCATTTTTATGTGACTTAAACTTCGTTCAGGCACACCGTGTACATTTTAATCCGTGTTAAAATGTGTTTTGTTATTTTTTAGTTTAAAAAAGAAATAGCAATTCCAAATAGATATTATTAAAAGCAGCTATGTTACGTCACATTTTGATAACATGATCTGTATAGAAACTATTAAACTAATCAGAGCACGGCATTTTTCATTGCACCTAGTGCTGTCGATAATTCCGTGCTTTGATTGGTTTATTGCTCTCTATAGAGATCATTTACTATATATATAAAGTTACATCGCCAATTAAAAGAAACACATTCCAGATTTGTTTTTTGGCTTTTGCAAAGACTATAGGACATACACTGAGACAGACTTTATATAGACAGCATCCAAATCGGAAAGATTTCTGTACGAAGCCTGTTAAAAACATCTTACCGAGGTCACAATATGACATCTTGAAGAAATCATTTTTAGGAGCTCAAGATTATAATCAAATGACACGTCAAGACCTCTTAATATTAAGAGGTCTTGACGTGTTATTCATAAATAAGAAGTCAATTTTTTAACATCTTAAAGTTTTTTTCTGACCTTTTAGTGGAATCAAAATTAGAAGCTACTGCGGGTATTATAAATTAGACTTCAGTTATGTGATATCTTACAATATTCTCTTTTCTTACTTTTACTGAAATCATATTATTAACTCTTTAACCGACGTCAATATGGAGACGTATGATGATGACTTATGATATTTTAATGCTTTCTTCTTTCTGTTTTTATAAAAAAGTCTAGAATGAGAATTCTTTGTTTTATGGTAAATAAACGAGATATATCCCTTTGCAAATCTCGCTATGTATTTGAGCAAAAACCTGACAACACATTAGGCTGGTTCAAAAAATCAACTATATTTTTTCCTGAAATTTCGCACTGAAATATCGTACCAAAAAAAGACGCCTGTGAAAACCGGAGCTCTTAATTTTAATATTTAGAGGTCGCGCATCGAGAATTTCTATTTCCCATTTAAATAACATGGGAAATTTTGTTTTGTTTCTTAATAATTTTCTAGCTCACAAACTAATTAACAGATTTGTATGCGCGATATATATTCTTGTGGGAAATTGAACGCTGTACAAAAAATGTCTCCTATCATTATTTGATAAACCAACTAGTTCAAAAGTTGTTCAAAGTCGAAGTTAAATTTATGTCATAAGTGCATTTTTTACTTAAATTTTAGGCAAATTCATTAAAGTTATTATCAAAAATCAAAATTACTATATTCAATAAGCCTTTTAAATTAATTCCACTGAAACACGTACTATTATTGGAAATAATTCATTAAAAAGGATTTAAATCAATAAAAAAGGATTTTAATCAATCAAAAAGAATTTTAATGAATTCTTTCCAAAAATAGTAGGTGTTTCAGTGGAATTGATTTAAAAGGCTTATTGAACATCGTAATTTTGATTTTTGAATGATTTTTTTTATATTTGATAATAACTAACTTATGAATTTACCTAAAATTAAAGTAAAAAATGCAATTATGACATAAATTTAATTTCGACTTTGAATAACTTTTGAACTCGTTGGTTTATCGAAAAATGATATAAGACATTTTTTGTAGAGCGTTCAATTTTCCACAAGAATATATATCGCGCTTACAAATCTGTTAATTAGTTTGTAAGCTAAAAAATTATAAAGAAACAAAACAAAATTTCCCATGTTATTTAAATGGAAAATAAAAATTATCGATGCGCGACCTCTAAATATTAAAATTAAGAGCTCCGGTTTTCACAGGAGTCTTTTTTGGTATCGTTAAGATATTTTAGTGCGAAAATTCAGAAAAAAAAATAGTTGATTTTTTTGAACCAGCCTACAACACATAGTTAGACCACGCCCACCGATTACTTTCGTCTCACCTCTGTAACTGCATTTGTTTTATTTAAGAAGCGGCAAAGTAGAATTAAGAGCGTGTTCCACACCAAACGGCCTTAGACCTAGGAAGACAGCTACCCGATACTGAAGAGCTCCAAAAGCCATGAAAATAGCGATAGACGGCCTATTGGTCATATTTATGAGTTTAGACAGTAGGACTCTTTAAAACTCTTAATTGCGAAGTCAAAGTAAGTGTTCCTCAAGAGTTCTTTTTCAGAAGTCTTGATTAGTTCGATAGGTGGCGAATTAGAAGTCTTAAGAACTTCTTAAAAACTTCTTTTTGATATTGTTTCTGACGTCCAAATCATAAAATAAAGCTTATGCAGATCTAATCAAGACGTCATATTGCTGTCTGGGTAGAATATGAAAGAACGCAAAGATTCAATTTTAAGTATGCATTGTTTAAAGCACTTGATGAAAAACGAAATCTAAAATAAAAATTATCTAGTCGACACAAACGCAATTCCAGAAAAAAACGAACAAAGAATGAAGTTGCGGAACACATTTCAAAAGAATTAGTCTGTAGTTTGAGTAAACTGTTATTCATGTATATGTGAAAATGTATCAAAGATGTCATATATATAGATATTTGCATATACTAACCCTTAAACATAATGAAGTCCTTCTCAGCTTTTTGATCCTTTTTGTTATGCCCATTAAAGCTATCACTTTCCAAATAAAATTTATTGGACTTAAGTTTAAAAATATTTTGTTCTAAGCGCTTTCCGTTCATCTTTGATTTCTTTAATAAATTATCTACATTCGATACGGTAGCACTTGTGGCAGGATTGGTTACGTCAGTACTAGATGCTATAGAACTACTTCTAGATGTGATCCATCCGCTTTGCTCGCTGGTCGAAGAAGTGGAGCTGCTCAAGTACTTTGTTTCCGGAAAGTTCAGTGCTTCCTCCTCTTTGGTAGATATAGTCGGCAGTGATTCGGAACCTGATAAAATCATAGGAAAGCTTTCTTCTTCCAAGCAAGAGGTGCTGCGAACTTTCCTTAGTCCTCCTCTTACGCTAAGTAAAGCTGTACCATTTGACCCTGTTTTGAATTTTCGGAAGGACAGACTTTCCGTCGAACTGCTCGTCGAACCGATGTCGAAGTGTTTTACGTTTCCGTTTGTTCGTGATTTTGATTTCGGTAGTTTTTCGTTTGATTTGAACTTTTTGATTTGGTTTATTTTGCCGTTTTGGTAGGTAGTGTTGTTGTAGCTTTCAAAGTATACCGGTTGCGGTTCGTATAAGAACGATGGAGTGAATGATTTACGATTCTGACAGCGTTTCGTTACAAGCGAATTGAATTTGTTAGTCTTGGCTGAGTTCTTTTTAGGCGATGGAAACTGCATTGAATTCGTTTTGAATATGTTTTGTCCGCTTCCATGAGACGTATGGCTTATCGATTTTACTAAAGAGTTGTATTTTTGTTTGGCATTGGATAGATTTTTGATATCAAAATGTCGTAATTTCTCAACACCGTTTTGGCTTGACGTTACATCTATGGACGTTGGTTCTAAAATTACCCGATCCTTTGATTTTTTTGGTTTCTTAATTGTTGCATAATTATAACCGTTAAAAGAACAATCACATATATCGTTTGGACTACCAGATTTGTTTAAATATTTAAAATCCTCTTCTAAAAAATATTTTCGTTGACGCATGTTGTTCTCGCTAGACACATTTTTTAATGCTTTATCAGTTTGATAATGAGACTTTTTTGATTGTCTCGTATCGGCAAAGTCTTTTTGATTCGTAATATTACTTAAAGAATAATGGAAAGAATTTTTTAAACACGTTTGTAATTGATCCAATGATTTACTGTGCCTTGTTGGGATTGTAAATGATAACGGATCTTCCAGATTGTATAAATCAGCGTTTACCAAAGTTTTTTCAGAGGTTTTTCGTTTATCCCACAAATTTCCAATACCACACGAACAGTTCGTGTCATCTGGGATGATGTTGGTTTTTTTGATGCTCCAAGTATCTGAAATAAATTTAATCAATTCTAAACCTTTTTATTATTCAAGGACTTTTGGTATCAGAACTAAATATTTTAAAGCAAAAATCAGAACATCTTTTAATTATATGTATATACTTACTAGTTTAGTGTCAGAAATAGTAGGATTGTCCATTAAAATTTAATTTATTTTAAAAAGCAATAAGTAGGTATTTTAAAAATAAGATCGACTAAAAGTTTTTATAAAATGCAATTTTTAATATTAGTTGGCCATATTAGCATATGGGTGATTCTTCAAAAGTTGGGCAACTTTTGACCTCATTTTGTTTATATAGTTTTCGGAGAAAATTAAACAGTATTTTGTTATGAGAACATATATAATATAATAAATATACTCTTCCAGACCAGGCCTGTTACTTTTTCAAACAGTTTCTAAAATATCTGTGTTTTCTAAATTTGAATGCAAGGGAAGTGGCGAGTATACCAGGGTACTAATTAAATACATAATTTATTGGAAAATATAAGATTTATTGCAACTTTGAGCATATTAGGTATACATTAAATATCTTAAAATCAAATAATACCACACATCAGTGGCGGCTGGTGGATTTTGGGTATACCGATATCTCAATTATTAGATATGGGACCCTCAACAAATTTATATAAGTTTATAATGACATTAAATAAACAAGTTCTGCGCAAGCAGAATTTAAATTGAAGTTTGCGAAAAAAAGATAACCGAAACATCGAACATGGAACTGACGACATGGTACTGATGAATGGGATACAAATTTGAGATTATAATTCGGAATTAAGTATTTTACTGATATTTTTTATTAGTGGATGCTACTTATCAACAAATCACATATAGCCTTGTATAAATTTCAACGAAATATATATACGTAAGAAAATAACTACTCTCCACAGTACTGAAATTTTGACTGGAACTATCACCGCTTGCATTGTTTTCAAGATGTCGTGCAAAGGGCGGGCTCTGTAGGTAATTTTTTACCAACACTTGAGTTAAAACGAGGACTTGACATTTAAACTTCAATATTTCGCAGGAATTTTGAATTTTAACATTGGACACAGAACTGACGGGTAAAAGTGAGTACAAACAATTTTTTAAAAATTCCTATTATTCGAATCTATGATTAAATATGAAAAATACATTATTTAATGTTTTATAGTTTGTAGTCAAATTGAAAAATTTAAGATAAAATGAATATATTTAAAATAAAATCACTCAAATATTTGATTCAGGAGTTGTGACACGCCAAGGTACTGACGTTTTGAATATTTATTATGTTTTTCTACAAACGTGCTTTTGAAAAATACATTAAAATTGGGTGGACAAGTTAAAAAAAACCTGGATCTTTTGTAATATACTGAAATATTTACAAAAAATATTAAAATAACTACTCTATTGACTGATGACATCAAGTTGTCCAACTTTTGTAGAATCACCCATATACTAATATGGCCAACTAATATTAAAAATTGCATTTTATAAAAACTTTTAGTCGATCTTATTTTTAAAATACCTACTTATTGTTTTTTAAAATAAATTAAATTTTAATGGTCAATCCTACTATTTTTGACACTAAACTAGTAATTATCAAATAGTTTACCTTTATTTGGTAATTCCGGTGACTCAAAGTTTCGTTTGTCTACATCAAACGGGTCTTGGTATTGATCTTCAAATATTATAGGCATAGATGCACAGTCTCCATCCAATGCCAAGCAATGTATAGGCAAAGGGGGTAGTAACTGCATATATTTTGATCTAAAAATACAAATTTACTAAAACATTTCCTCTCTTTATAATCCTTTAATCGAACCTTCTAACTATCTCAGCAATAACGAAATAATTCTGATAATTTGTCTCGTAACAGCCAAATGCTGATCTTCGGGGATTGTAAACTAGAAAAAATAGTTCCGCGAATCTTCTTACTCGTAGCATGTGATGCCTTTTACTTAGATTTTGTTGTATCGCTATCTTGCAACTAAAAGTTAACAGAAAATAGTTCCATATTCTAATGTTTTCAGCGCACAACTCTGCTAGTTCCGAATTTTGTATATGTGGTCGTTTCTTCATTAACTAAAACAGACAAGATTTAAAGCTGATGTCTTAGATACAAGCATCTTTAATTAGGTTGGGAAGTAACCATGGAAACATATCGCTTGTAGAATTGAGGAGCGTCTTTACAAGAAGAGCCATAGTCCAAAAATGTCTTGATCATTATTTTTTATTTAAAACTTAAAAATGTATAAAGACAGATTTGTGCTGTTTAAATCTAATGATTTGCCATAAAAATAACTAGTTTCGATGTCATAAACAGATATTAATTTAAAAATAAGTGTACCTTCGTAAATAACAATTTGAACTATGGTTGTTTTGTAGGAAGCGCCTCAGTTGTTATGCAACAGAAAACCAACCCTCATAATGAAAAATGCGAAATTAAAATATCCAAAGTAATGGAAAAACTGCAAAGTTGCAGTGTAAACAAACTTTCTAAATCTTAACAAAGCTCTAAGATGCATGGTTGCGCGAACTCTTTCTCTATGTAGTCAATTATTACCAGTTTCTTTTAGTTAACAAGAACCCACCGAAATCCAACGGTCGATTTGCAAGGGTTCAAGAAATCGATTGAAACTTTTTTACCTTATTTCTACATCTAAATCCAATACTTTTTTTTTTAAATGAAATCTCTTCCATTGACAAGTTTGTTTTTATTTTTTTTATTTTTTCTTAATTTTTTTAATAACTTTATTATTTTAAAATGTATCGATTTGAAATTTGGACACAATGTAGATAAAATTTTGTTTAGATTTTAAAGTACAAATTTAACATTTTTTAAATGGTAAATAATCGAAGAAGCAACTTATAAATTTGAGTATAACACTTTAAAGTATTGATATTTGATATATTAACTTTTTATGCAAATTATGTTTCTGTGGCCAGGATCAGTTTTAAATTAGGAGTAGCAGTATTCATAAATGTTTAGTTTGGTACATTTGTCATTTTTATACAAATGCTGTTGTATCTTTTATTAATAATTAAGTATAGCATAACACATAAATGACGTTTAATATACAGGGTGTTTCACGTACGTAGTCCGTTAGAAGTTTCTAGGGAATCGCGAAAGACATCGATTTAAAATTTTAATAGCGTAAATTATTCAATTTAGACTTTTTTCCTAAATTATTTTGAACAAAATAATACTTCATGTTTTACCGGCTATGTCTTTAACTCTGTTATTTTAAACAGGACACCTCATATATTTTTATATTTTTGAATTCTACATAAAATTCTAAATAAAATGGCTATACCATATCCTATACCTAAAGTCAATATTTTTAGACTTATTAATTTTTCAACCAAATATTTTAATTAATTTTAAACAATTAAACCGATTAAGTGGTAACCATGGATACTGCCGCATTAACCCACATGTAGAATTACACAGGTTTGTTGATACAAAATAGTATTGAAAATATTAAAAATTATTAAATTTCTTTGAAATCTGAAGTTATTATAATACCAATCGAAAGATTATTTAATTTTCTATTTGATTTTGTTAAAACAGACAGGATTTTACATTTATAATAAAAACGTTATTATAATTTCAAGTGGTTTTTCTCAAGCTATTTGTTAAAAAACCTTTAAAAATAAAATTATTCAAACAATGTTTTAATATTCCTAAAATTCCAACCCCCATGTCAGCAAAAATATTAACAAAAAAATTAGAGGCTATTTTTGATTGCCGTGCATTTAACAAAATTTTAACGAAACAAATTAATATCTAGAAAACTATTACTTTATGACTTTAGGTATAGTCTAATTCAAATTGTATATGCCATTAAAATTTCAAATCCATATCGTTTGCGTTTCTTTAGAAACACCGTGTATAGCATAATATTAAATATAAAAAAATGCGAAATAACTAATTACAAAAAGCGAAAAACAACTGAATAAAAAATATACCTAAAATATATCTAAATAGTCTTTATTCTAATTTATTTATTGGGTAAATTTTACTTTCCTCAGTTTGGAATTAAAATTGAAGCTTGCTTATCGAGTAAAAACTTAATTTAAGCTTGGTTGTAGAGCAAAAAATAAAATTAAAGTAGCTTATAATTTCTAACTTGCTGACACTGTCTATAATTATTATTTAGTTTATTAATTTTAATAAATTAATTTTTTGAGTTTATAGTACACTTATAAATTGAAACGCAATAAGTCATTTGCAACTTATGAACTGAACTGTCAAATTATCTTTCATGCTTCCAATGATAGGTTGCCATAGAGAAAAGTCTATGATGAATACTATGATTAAAATTAGTAAACTTAAAAAAATTTTAAATTTATAAATAAAACTAACTTTAGCTCCATCTTCGGCGATTTTATATAATATATATATTATATATTATATTATATATAATATATTATAGGTAATATATAATGTTTAATATGTAATATATAATACATTATCTTAAAAAATAGATAAAAGAATATATAATTTGTAAAACACGTTAGTATTATGCCCTTTGAAGGCCTAACTTAAAAATGATGTCTCTCGTGAAAACGTAATTTGCATGTGGAAGTTTATATATCAAATAATAGTTAATTATCAGTACCTACTTTAACGTGATATACTCAAAATTATAAAACAACGTTGCTTCTTCGACTTTTTAACCCTTAAAAAATGGTAATATTTTAAATTAAATTGTCCCCAGCGCCCCCTGTATGATAAAATATAAAAAATAATACGTGGATTTATTGCCATTAATGAGGTCTACATTTTTTCTTAATTTCAAATAGATACGATTTTAAATAAAAATGTTATTACAAAATATCGAAATTTATCTATTTTTAACACAGTACAGGGTGATCCCCAATAATGTCGCCCCCCTTTAACATTTTTATTTTAAGTGTTACAAAAAATTTAAAAGTATGGTACTAAAAATTCTTTTTTTCTGCGTATAAAGAAAATTAGAAAATTGATCAGTATACAGGGAAAAACAAAAAGTTTATTTTTTTTCAATGGATCACCCTATATATGTATTTATTTTTCGATTCCTTGTAAAATTCTAAGCATATTTCATATAACATACCATATACCTAAAAAATTCAACCGTTTCTGAAATATTTAAATTATTTTTAAGATAATAAGTTGAAATAGTTTGTCTTTCTCTGTCTTAGAACGCCATTTTTACTTATTTAACAAGTTATAGTAATTTATTTTCAATAAAAATGTTGGTATTCTGAGGCTTCTTGATTTATAACAGTTTAAAAAACATTTCGAATGCGAATATTTCAGAAACGGTTGAATTTAGGTATATGGTTTGTTATATGAATTATGCTGCAGAATTTTACAAGGAATCGAAAAATAAATACATATATAGGGTGATCCATTGAAAAAAAATAATCTTTTTGTTTTTCCCTGTATATTGATCAATTTTACTTTTTTTTATACGTAGAAAAAAAGTATTTTTTAGTACCTACATAACCAAACTTTTACCTTTTTTGGGATACTTAAAATAAAAAAGTTAAAGGGGGGCGACATTATTGGGGATCACCCTGTACAGTGACTGAAGGCCTGAAAACCAAAGCGGTCAATGGATGAGAATTTTTTTTTTTTTAATTCACCATGTAGGTGTAGAAACAAGGTTAAAACAATTTATTCAATTCTGCATGGCATCACTTGCAAACAAATGTCCAAAATTTGTTCGATTTTTACTCGAAACCATAGTTAAGAAGAACGTTGAACCTAAAATTAGCAAAATAATGGAAGGAAGCACATACATTTTTGGGCGCTATTATCTCAGTTTTCCAAAACTGAAGGTTGGTTTCTTGTTTCATGGCAGGATTTAATTTTATAATTTAATTGGTATGGTTTAATAATTTTTTATTCTTTACACACTTTACAGCTAAAACTTTAGATACATAGGTTTAAACGAAATAAATCTTGAAAACTGCATTATTGGAAACGTTTAATCAAACCTTAAATCTTAAACTAGCTCTGAAATTGCTTCCTTAAATAATTTATATCACTTCAAATTAAACTCTTACCTTGGTACTATCGTATTCATTATGTTTGACAACTAAAACGTCGTAGTTTTCTGCAACGATTTCTTCTCTTTGCGCTAATAAAAGTTTGTATTCCTTGATGGTGGTTTTTAAATTGTTGCTCGAGTCCAATAAAACGTTGTAGGCTTCTAAATGAATTTGCGGCGATTCGTTAATTCTGCTATAAATCTTATGACTATTCACTTGTGGGACGGGATCCGTTAACGTTGAACATTGCGTGGAACGAATTTTGCTCCAGGACTTTGACGATTTCGGGGCACTGAGAAATTCGAACTCAAATTTAATTAATTGTGAAACATTTTAGTAATTTAATCAACACTTCAAGAGTGTTTTCGCGTTGTTTTCTTTGTGAATTTTAATGTGAAAAATCAATTTACTTTAACGACGGGGATTTTCCTTTTTTTAATATTAAATTACATCGAAAATCAATCAGAAATGAAAAGATGCCAGAAACAGTGTAAAATCTATAATACGCTGAAAACGGTTTTTAAGTATGGTAGAATACTTCACTTTGGATGAAAAAAATAAGGAATGTTGTTTTGTAAATATTTTCTTCTTTATTAAAGTTCAGCTTGTTTTATAGTAGATTATGCATAGACATATTAAAAGAATGGACACTAATAATAATAATAATAATTATAATAATAATAATTTATTAACCACAAATTACAACAAAAAATGGTCATTAAAGGGTTTTTCATTTGGCAAATTTTTAGAGGCGAATTCCCACGAAGTTAGGAGACTTTTCATATTTTGCATGCCAATGCATTTCAATGTGGATTTTATCCTTAGATCTGGTGGTGTATTGACACTTATTTTTATTCATTAGTTCAACTTGGGCTATTTCCATTGTAACGGGTGCGACACTGACACTGCGGTTTTTCATGATAAAAAAGTGTTTGTTCATATATATCAAGCTACACAGAGAAAAGTTATCTCTTGATTTTACTATATTTGGTTTGGCTCAAATAGATTATTTATTTCGATATCTACAAGAAGATATTTATTTAGTGGAAAACTGGGGTTCATTTGACTCTTTAAACTGATATTTGGTTAATTAAAGTAAATATCTTAGTTGACTTTTTATCTCAGGTTTAATAGAAGCTTACTTAAAGAAACAAAACCTACATCCAAACAATTTAATTAATTGCTCTAAATAAATATTTCTTTACAATTAATCACAACAATAAGTTGTTTTCAAGAAACTTATGATTTACAACCAAATAATAGTATTTTCTTATTGTAAACAACAAGATACTACAAATAAGAAAATTTTACTTCATCCAAGAAAACCTGTTTCAAATAAATGCATTTTCTTAAATCAAGAAGATGACTTTTCTCTGTGTACGTTAATATACAAAAATAGTATAAAAAATTAGATATTTACCTCAAACAAAATATCAATAAAAACTTGTATAGAAAACATTTTATAACGTCACGAATCGCGTAACGGGCGCGACCTTAGAAAATCAGCAGATGCGACCAAGTTGGCTTCTAAAGTTGATACTTTAAAATTTTGGATGAAGGCATATAGTAATAATTATTTGTGTAAAACTTGAATAGTAATCTTAAACAAGCACGTATTTTAAATGCACACATATTGTATAGTTTATTTTCTAAAATTTTATCAAAATGTAACGGGTGCGACAAGTTTTTATCGAGTTTTGATACTTCCGTGTTTATTTGTTGAACTTCGCCTTTTGTTAAACAAATTTAACAATAAAGCTATTTATTATTATTAATAATAATATTATTATTATTAAAGTGTGATGATTTTAATTAATTCCTTATTTTAAATAAACTCACCAGCTCTGCATGTACCGCAAAAGGCCTCTCCTGAAAAAATAATCAAAATGCAAATGTAAATATAAATATAATTTTATTTGTCTTTGTATACCTAATACATATTGTTTATGTTTGTTTTAATTATGTTATTAGTAAATAAAACCACGAAATGGCAATACAGGTACCTATACATATTAATTAACAAATAATTATTGGAGCCTGATCAATTAAAATTAATTAGCTATTTGATATTAAATATTAATATAAATATAAACAAATTTGTAGCCAGAACATATTGGTTAAATTTAGTGTTAAGTTAATATAATTATAGTTGTAAATAATTCTAGATAACACAAGCCAGCAAAATTTTTAATAAAATATAAATTTATACCTACTAGAAATGTTTTTTACCGCATTGAATTTCGTATAAATATCTTATGTTTCCATATAGCAAAATTTGAACAAAATTGATAATTTTTTCTTAAAGAGAAGATTTTAGAAGACATGGTTTTATAATAATTTGTATCTACTTCTATTTCAAAATATTGCGATTTTTGCGAATATAATAAAAAACATTATAAATTCCCTGCATAAAATGAACTCATTATTCACATTTTTAGGCATCAGTGATTGGCCCATTTCAATATTCACTGTGATTTGAACCAATCGGGTTTTACATTGGGAGAAGGCGACTATAAAATTGGTAAAAAGTAAGGTTAACCATTTGACAGATGTCAGATTTTATTTTTTTATTTTTGAAAATCATTAATTATCTACTTATTGGTGTAGATAAAGCATATTATTACACTGGAGCTTTTGCGCATTATTCACTAGGTTGATTTGAGCAAACCTCATCCTCGTGAATAATAGCCTGCATTATCTTTCGTTTAAAAATATACTATTATTCCCATACGTTCATATTGATAGGTGCTTAGAATGGGTATGAATATGCAACGATTTTTTCAGTTCTGAAAAGTCACAGTTGGCCAAATCTGGAGAATACTGAGGATGCTGCAACAATTCCCAGACTATTCCTTGATTTTTATAGCGGATTTGTTAGCTGGGTGCATAAAAACTTTTGTCTACCAAATAAGGACGTTTTCATATGTAAATGTTTATGCTAAATTGTAACGGCCGATCCAGTTGAAATATAAATCTCATAAAATTTATTTTTCGGATTTATTGGATGATTTATGGGACTTGTTGACAGATTGACAGTAATCGTTTAAAGGATGGTTCTTATCAATATATTGACTCCCTTATACGCCAACACAGTGTCCCTGAACGAAGTTTAAGTCACATAAAAATGACGCCAAAAACTGATTGCAGTTTCTTGTTCGGGACCCTTTGGTGAATTAAAAATGATATTTACCAAAATCCTAGCTGATCCTTTTTTCGAAATTTTTTCAAAATTTATGATTTTTTTTAAAATTTTTGTTTATTTCAAAGTCTACCTTTCACAGAGTACACATTTGTACACCGATTTTTATAAAATTAGAGTATATTATTGAGGAGACTTAAAGAATACTTTTTAATAATGTTCACATCATTTGATATATACAGGGTGGACGAAATCGCTTAATTTTAATAAAGCAAAAGCGTAAATTCATGATTTTGGCATAACAAGCAAAACAGATGTATCCCCATTTTTTTTTAGATATTTCTATGTTTATTAGGTTACAAAATGGCATTCTTATTAACCTTTTATTAAAAAAATAGATTTTTAATAAAATTAAATAAAATAACGCTTAGAGAATATTTAAAATGTTGTTTAATTTAGGCTTTTTAGAAGTTTTCAATTTTGAAACTGGTTAAAGTTTTTTGATCGGCACTCTTTTGAGATTTAAAAACGGTATTTACCAAAATTCTAACTGCTTTTCTTTAAATTTGTTAAAAAATCTTTTTTTTTTTAATTATTTGTTTATCGCAAACTCTACCTTTGCCAGAGTACAGATTTGTACACCGATTTGCAGTTTCTTGTTTGGGACCCTTTGGTAACTTTAAAATGATATTTAACAAAATCCTAGCTGCTCCTCTTTTCGAATTTTTTTGAAAATTCTTAATTTTTTTTTTAATTTTTGTTTATCTTACCTTTGACAGAGTACACATTTGTACACCAATTTTTATAATATTGGAGTATATTGTTAATGAGACTTGGAGAATACTGTTTTCATACTGAGCACATCATTAGATTTATACAGGATTAGCCAAAAATCACGTTTTTATATGTAAAAAGCATAATGCACAAAACAGATTTATCTCCAAAAAAATTTATTTTATTTAATTTTATTCAAAATCAATTTTTCTTATAAAGTCTTGATAAGAATCCCATTTTGTAGCCTGATAAACATAAAAATATCTAAAAAAAAACATGGGTGGGTATATATCTTTTTTGCGTGTTATGCCAAAATCATGAATTTACGCTTTTCCTTTATTAAAAGAAGCAATTTTTGGCTAACCCTGTATATATTAAATGATGTGCACAGTATAAACAGTATTCTCCAAATCTCCTTAACAATATACTCCAATATTATTAAAGTCGGTGTACAAATGTGTACTCTGTCAAAGGTAGACAAAAATTTAAAAAAAATCATGAATTTTCAAAAAATTTCGAAAAGAGGATCAGCTAGGATTTTGGTAAATATCATCACCAAAGGGTCCCGAACAAGAAACTGCAATCAGTTTTTGGCGTCATTTTTATGTGACCTAAACTTCGTTCAGGGACACTGTGCCAAAGAAGCATTGATAGGTATTTTTAAATAAATATATAGTTTTTTCACAAAGGAGAGAAAAGCAGAAGTCTTACTCGACAAATTTTGTTCGCAAAGTTTGAATTGCACTGCTTACGTTATTTGTGTTTCGCATTGCAAGTTTAAACTGAAGAACCACTTGGATTAGTACTTGATTTTGATTTATTATTCTTTATATGCTTAAATAGTTACGTTAGTGTGTGTATTTTGTATGTATGTGTATCCAATTTGGTATGTATATTTGTTGGTGCAGAATTAACTATAACTAACTAACTTTATCTAATATAATTAAACAAGATGTTTTATTAGAACTAATTATTATGATAACACTATGATTTTATTAAAATTGTCATATAAATTGCCACGTGTCGCCAATTATAGTGTTCCGTTAGAATAAATTTCGCATCAAACTGAATTCATAGTTCCGACTCGTTCGAACACAAATTTACGCTCATTCAGAGCGACAAAAAGGTCGTGTTACAATCACGTCCGCGTTTTGTAACGATTTAAATTAGTTTATTAATTAAATTTTTTATGTGGAGGTTTTCGAAAGCGAAGTTAATTAAATTGATTTTAATTAAATTATCGACTCACCTTTCAGCTTCAGGCAACCTACTTGATGCAGGTTTTATGGAATGGCAGAATTATGTTTTGTTTTTATTTTTGAAATGTACATTAACCGGAAGAAAATATTTTATATTGCATTTTCATTTGTATGTTTTCCTTTTAGGGCATAAATTACCTACGTTATGATATGTTTATGCATGCTAATCGTTTAACAAGCTTACAGTTGCAACAAGCAGCTAAATTTGCTAAAAATATGTATTATTTTAATTTTTTGTTCTTTGCTTTACATTGGAATAAAATATGTAATGCAAGTATACCCATTAAAATACCATACATAATTCAGCAAACAAAAAATGCTAAAAGGGAAAAATAAAATATTTACACAATCTACTCAATTCGCATTTTTGCATACAAAATATAGAAACAAACAAGAATAGGCAAACATATACACAAGAGCATTTGTAATACAAATTTTGTATCATTTGAAATTTGAATAACACGGCCATTTCAAGCGGATGGACGGGACAAATCACATTATAAAAAAAATTGTAGGTAATTTATTATATATTATTTTTGCATCAAAATTGTCAAATATATTCTTCTATTATTAGGCTATACATTAAATAAAAAAATCGCAAGAAATATTTTATAAAAGTAGAGATAATTTCAATAATTGACAGGGGTGGACGGGACAAGATAAACCTTTTTTTTGTCCCGTCCACACCTTTCAATTATTAAAATTATATCTACTTTCATAAAATATTTCTTGCGTTTTTTTAGTTTAATGTATAACCTAATAAAATAAGAATATTTTTGACAATTTTTATGCCAAAATATTATATAATAAATAATCTACAATTTTTTTTATAAAAACAGTTTTGTAATTTGTGCGTTTTGCGCGCTTGAAATGGCCGAACATTTAAATTAACTGTTTTGACAAATACAACCGAAAAAGAATCTCTGGTATGTATTTGGTTTTATTATCCAAATTATTTCAATTGAAGGAGCCTCAAATATTGCCTACAAAATCTTGTTGCCGGACACCGCGTACCATCAAGTGCATTTGGTGCACTGCACAGCAAATGTTTCCATAATAACTGAAGATGTGTTATTGGCGTTTTTAAAAGAAAAATCAAAAACATTATCTCCTGCTACATCATTGTCCAAATACCCCCTGGTGAAATTGACTATTTCTATAAAGAAAACCAACATATTAAAATGTAACTGCTTGAAGGTACTTATAAAAAATGGCTATCAGTCCTGAAAAGATAAAATTTTTAATAGATTATTTCCCTCATTATAATATGAACCAATCAAAAGCCTTGAATTTTCGAATAAATTTCGTTTAAATAAGCGATTAAATCACTAGAACTATTTAACAGCGATTAAATTTTAGCCTCCATATTGGATTTTTGTTTACGATTTTTAGGTGTTATTTACAAGTTTTAACAAACAATTTTTAAAAAACAATAAAAAATAAGTTATCTAGTTTACGAAATATCAATTATTACTTATTACATACCTTAAATTAATGGAATTTTCTTTAAAAAAATATTTATAAATTTTGACACATACGTCAGATTTTATGAATTGTCGAATAGTTTCCTTTAATTCGAGAAATAATCTAGACGTATATCACTCAACCTATAAATTTAATCTGTGAAACTATGCTCAGTAAGTTTTTTATTTGATTTTTCTTTTTGGAAAATAGTTTCATGCAAAATAATTAAAAATAAAACCCCTCGACCGCTACGCGGTCTCGTGATTTTATTAAATTATTTTGCAATCAACATTTTCCAACAAAAACCAAACAAAAAACTACTGAGCCTAGTTTAACCGATTAAATTCATAGTTCTCGTGATATAATATATGAATAAATATCAACCAAAATGACATTTTTACTTTTTTGTCCAGGTACCGAAAGGTTTTCATAGCCAGCAACAACGTAGCAACCTACCACCCTACCACCTAGCATGTTTAACTTTCGCTTTCAATTCTCTTATCAAGATAAAAAATTACAGTTTCGTAGAGGGGAGAATAAAAACAATGTTCCCTTTATTTGTATCAACTGCAGTTATTCATAAAGAAATATTCTTATACGTATGGGTGATTCTACAAAAGTTGGGCAACTTTTGACCTCATTTTGTTTACATAGTTTTCGGAGAAAATTAAACAGTATTTTGTTATGAGAGGATAGATAATATAATAAATATACTGTTCCAGACCGGGCCAGTGACTTTTTCAAACAGTTTCTGAAATATCTGTGTTTTCTAAATTTGAATGCAAGGGAAGTGACGAGTATACCAGGATACTAATTAAATACGTAATTTATTGGAAAATATAAGATTTATTGCAACTTTGAGCATAATGTATAATAATTAAATATCTTAAAATCAAACAATACCACACATCAGTGGCGGCTGGTGGATTTTGGGTATACCGATATCTCAATTATTAAATATAGGACCCACACCAAATTTATATGAGTTTATAATGACATTAAATAAACAAGTTCTGCGCAAGCAGAATTTAAATTAAAGTTTGCGAAAAAAAGATAACCGAAACATCGAACGAGGAACTGACGACACGGTACTGATGAATGGGATACAAATTTGACATTATAATTCGGAATTAAGTATTTTACTGAAAATTTTATTATTGTATACTACTTATCAACAAATCACATATAGCCTTATATAAATTACAATGAAATATATATACGTAAGAAAATAACTACCCACCACAGTACTGAAATTTTGACTGGAACTATTCGTGGATTCACCACAACTTCGCCGCTTGCATTGTTTTCAAGATGACTGTCGTGCAAAGGGCGGGCTCTGTAGGTAATTTTTACCAACACTTGAGTTAAAACGAGGACTTGACGTTTAAACTTTGGACATAGAACTGACGGGTAAAAGTAAGTACAAAGATTATCAATTTTTTAAAAATTGCTATTATTCGAAATTCGAATGCATGATAAAATATGAAAAATACATTATTTAATGTTTTAAAGTTTGTAGTGAAATTGAATATATTTTAAAATAAAATCACTCAAATATTTGATTCAGGAGTTGTGACATGCCAAGGTACTGATGTTTTTAATATTTATTATGTTTTTCTACAAACGTGCTTTTGAAAAAATACCTTAACATTGGGTGGGCAAGTTAAAAAAACCTGGATCTTTTGTAATATACTAAAATATTTACAACAAATATTAAAATACCTACTCTATTGACTGATGATATCAAGTTGTCCAACTTTTGTAGAATCACTCGTATATACTTTGAGTATACTCAAAGGCTGATTATTTTATTGTAGATTTAATAATATTTAAGGAAAAAATTGAACCTACACCTCGCCAAAGTTTTTTGTTTTGAATGCGTTCCACCAACTTCAAATACCGACAGACAGCTGTTTCGACCTTTATTGGGTCTCATCAGTGTCGGGCAACTTGGTGTAGTGGAACACAATCAAAACAAATTACTCCCTGAGCCTATATGCTCAGTTGTTAAGTCAACAGAGGCGAGATGTAAGAACATCAGGTATGACTTAATAATAAAGTAAAATGTAAAATAAATACCAATAGTTTTGCTGTTTTTTCATTCAACTTTATGTAGTGCAAAACCGGCTATATCCATTTTAATAAAATGTTGGGAAAATGGCAAAAATTCCCCGTTTCCTGGCCTTTACAGATAACAAAAAATACATCTTGAGTTTTGTGCAAAAAACGAAAACAATAACCATTGATGTAACAGTAAACAGTAATATATTATTCGAAAATATATTTCCTGTGCAGAATATTGCTTACTACAGTCAAACTAAAAACATATTTCATAACTCATTGTCCGTCTAAATTCCACTTACTTCATTGATGGTTGGTGTAAAGCGGTCAAGACGGCGTGAACCGTGAGCGAGATCGACGAAAGGTGGAAGTAATCGAACAGGACCGGCAAGTGGTAGTGGAGACCTTCAACAGGTGACATGTTGAGCTGCAGCGTCCTGGACGAAACCAGGACCATCGTGGCTGGCGAGGAATCGCTGAACCATAGCTCCAGGAGTAGGGAATACTCGGCACGATCCAGAGATTCCTGGAAAATAATAATAAATATTTTAAATAACACCGTCGAAATTAAAAAATGTTTATTAAAAATTTTTTAAAAACCTTATTTTATTTAAAATATATATACAGGGTGTCTCACCAGCGAAAAACATTATTAACTCGAAAACTATTAAGTTTAGGTATAGGGAATGGTACAGCAATTTCATTAAGAATTTCATGAGGAATTTAAAAATAAAAAAATGTACAGGGTGTTCCATTGGAAATAACAAAGTTGATGTCGCTTCCGGTTAAACCGGAAGATGAGTTTTATTCAAAATAATTTTAAAAGGTAGATTAAATTGTACAATAATTGCTATAAAAATTTCAAATTGATATCCTCAGCCGTTCTCCGTAAACGTCTAAGGTACCATCGCTGGTAAGACACCCTGTATGTCATTTCTCGTCATTTTTACTCAATGTTTTTTTTGTCTGAAATATTTTTTCCTTTTTTCGTTGCGGTTGCGCTAGAAACGCAATAATTAATATTTCAAAGAATATTTTACGGCCCACTTTGAACTTTGTATACAATGGTATGTATACATGTACAACTCGACAAATCTAGCTAGAGACTATACCTGCAGTGTGCGCAAAACTTTAAAGCGAGAACGCATTCGGAAGAAAAGAGATGCATAATACGGCCGATGTCGGCCGCACAGAGGACTAATAAAGGTTTAAATATAAACATTATTAAAGTTATTTAGGAGTAAAAATAGTAAATTTTCGATTTATTTATACAATTAGAATAGAATTATATGTATTTAAGGTAAACAAGAATTTATTATAAAGTTAAGATTTGTTTAAAAGAAATTTTCTTTATGCAGCGAGAAGTTGCACAATACGGCCCTATCCGTGATTTTAAAAAAAAGCCCAAGAGCGTGCTGCCACTGATGTTAGCCTAAGTAGCATAAAATAATTTCCAAGCGATGTCAGCAGGCTATAAGTTTGAGAATTATTTTATGGAGAAAGAACCGACTTTGGATGTATACATGGTTAGTACATACAGGAAGGGAAAATGGAAAGTTTCCACCCCGGTTTTCTCAGGTGTTACGAAAAAAACAAAAAACCCTCAATTCAACCCCTAGGCATGGGTGAAACTTACCCCCAAAGTTTAAATGGGGAAGGGGGGTCGAGTGATACTTTATTTTGTAGGTATTCTTGCTCTGATTATACCCTCCAAGTTTGAAGTCGCTATTATCATCCACGTAGATATAAAAGCTTGTCAAAATCTTGGAAATAGACTAATATTTTATAAGGAGTAGCAGCGATACTTTCCTTCCTTAATAAAAATAACTACTAATTGAAGTTTTAGAGTTTAATTATTGTTCCAATTTACCTGTGCCACATTCAATCAATTGAATTCAATTCATGAATCAGTGCAACGTAAATTTCTAAAATTTTTAAGTTACAAAACGTTTGGAGTATATCCCCCTCAGGGGTTTGATCATTTGGTACTGCTTGATACCTTTAATTTTGATTCTTTAAGTATAAGAAGGGATAAAATCTGCATAACTTTTTTATTTAAAGTAATTCATAATGGTATAGACTGTATTGACTTACTGGGACAGTTAAATTTTTATTTACCAAGACCTAATAATAGGCAAACATTAGTATTTAAGTGTCCAAGGGCACGTACCAACATGTTAGTAAGGTCGCTGATATATAAAATGTCCCTAACTTTTAATAAAGTAGCAAGTATTTGTGATATTAATTTTTCTAGTCTGAGAAGTATACTACAATGTTTTTACCTATTTAATTATTATATTTATCAATAATTTTCTTTTTTTATTATATATTTTCGGTTTTTTTTTTATCCGTTGTCTACTTTTTTTAAATACCACTTTATATATTAATTTTATTATTTCTTTTATGTATATTACTAATTGTTTTTGTATCTACTGTAATTTTGTTATTTGAAAATCCTTTATTGTGAGAACTGTTGTGCAATAAATAAATTATTATTATTATTATTATTATTATTAATGTTATTTATCTAACAAACTGTTCAAAATGTCCTCCATTAACATTCATGCAATAATAAAATCGATTCTCCATCTCTTCCCTAATATTCTGCAACATATCGGCAATTATTCTTTGACACAGTTATTCGATCTTGTAGAACTGGCTGTGTTTTATAAATTTTAGGCTCCAAATGGCCACTCAATAGGTCCTCTTCGGCCAATCCAGTGGTCTCTAAAATTGCCGAGCAGGTGCTGCATAATGCGGTGGGGCTCCATCTTGTTGAAAAAACATTTCATCTTGTGATAAGTTGTTATCTTCAGCAATAACCTCCCTTATTCTAGGAACAATATTTTCTTTAAACAAAGTCTGATAAATCGCCCCAGAAAATTGCCTTGTAAAAAGAATGGTTCAATTATGATATTGCCTAGAATACCTGCACAGACATTCAACTTTTCAGGATATTGAGTATGAGACTCTAAATAAATGTGGGTTTAAATCGCTCCAGTATCGACAATTATTTCTTCATGTAAAAAAAGGAGCATTCATCTGAAAAGCAGACATTGTAAAGGAAATTTGGGTTGCCAATACACCGTTTACTCATTTCTTTTACAAATTGTAATTGTCGATTAAAATCATTCTCATTAAGTTCGTGAAGCAATTGTATCTTGTTGGGGTAAATTTTGTGAACTTTCAAAATTCTCCTTACGCTTGTTCTTGATATGCCGGAAACTTCGGATAATTACCTGGTACTTAATGTGTTATTCATTGTAATGTGCCCTAGGACTGCGATTTGCATGCCTTTATTCCCAACGACACGAATCGTATTATCTTTTTTGTTCCAAAAACTTTTCCTTCAGTTTCCTAACGTAAGTATGCGAGCCATTTTTTTCCTGATGTCTTTCATTAAATTTAATTCAACTCGCTCAGCTATAGAGTAAACCATAATAAAATTTTTTCACATGTGCTTCCAAACTCTCGAACTAACGATAATAATTTTGATGATGATCGTGTAATACTAAAGTAAATAAAGTTTACGCAAAACACACTTTTTTCTTCAAACGAAAAAAACTGATGTTTTACTTTATTCGTTTGGCAAACCTACAGACTTATCACAAAAGTAATGCTTTTACTCAGGACTACTAAAACAATAGTCTATTTCCAAGATTTTAATAAGCTGTCATATCAAACTTGGAGGGTATAATCAGGGCAAAAATGAAATATCACTTCAAAATAAAATATCACTCGACCCCCCTTTCCTATTTAAATTTTGGGGGTAACTATCACCCACGCTTAGGGGTTGAAGTTGAGGGGTTGAAAATATAAAAATAAATTGTCCCCCTCAAATCAGAAATCAACGGTTGCGAGCGTTTTTTTTTTTTTTCGTAACACCTGAGATAACCGGGGTGGAAACTTTCCATTGGCCCACCCTGTATAAATTTGTATAATAAAGAAATTGTTAAATCTTATTTCAGTCGTAGAGGTAACTGCACAATTTTCAATATTTATATTATTCCATATACAATGTATGTATACATGTAATTAATATTCCTTACCAAATTTGCAAATGAGTGCATATGCAAGTTTGATAAAATTGGGATAGGTATGTTTTGTATGGATTGAAATCGAACTGGAAATAAATATATAGGGCATTTCATTGAAAAATATATTTTTTTCTTAACGGTCTTCTATTTGTTTACATAAAGAAAATCTTATCTCATATTTACAAAATTCATACAAAATTATTTAAGAAAAATTTTTGAGCGACAAAATTATACTAAGAATAAAAAATAATGAGGGGTCAACTTTAAGTGGGACACCCTGTACTTTATACATACCTACATGAAATATTGAAATAAAAAAATATACATGTCATTTTTTTTCGGATCATAAACGACAAAAGACAAATATACTATTTTTAGTGAAATAAATAGTTCACTTTATACCAGGCGGTGAAAGCATATACGAGGTGTGTTCAGAAAATAACGGGAATTGTTAAATTTCGCGGGTTCGGAGGGTCCGGTTGTCATAAAATTTTCTTTAGTATGTTGGTATATATGCCCCCGAAGTATGATAAAAAGTAGCTGTTTTCATTGCTTACTTTGTCTGTGGCAGCCGCTAAGGTTAGACGTGTTGTATGAGCTCGGCGATTTTTCGTTCGTTAAAAGAAATGGATAAAAGAATTTGTATCCAATTTTGCTTAAAAAATTAAATAAATTCTGTGAAATGTTAACAAAGGCCTATAGTGAGTCTGCTATAAGTAAAACAAGAGTTTACAAGTGGTATAAGAGTTTCCAAGATTGCCGTGAAGACGTTGAAGATGACGAACGCCCCGAACGCACAAGCACATTAACAACCGATAAAAACATGGAAAAAGTAGAAGAAATGGTTATAAACCATCAGAGAAGTCGCTGATGGTGTTGGTATATCGATTGACACATCCCATGAAATTTATTCAAATGTTTTGGGTATGAAACGCGTGGCAGCAAAATTTGTTCTAAAATTGTTAAATTCTGAACAACATTTTTGGCCAAAAACAATACTGTAATGATGCCCCAGCCTCCATATTCGCCAGACATGCCTATGTCTGACTTTTTCCTATTCCCAAAAATAAAGAGAACCTTAAAGGGCCGTCGTTTTGCAAGCATAGATGACATTAAAAGCGCATCGCTGAAAGAACTAAAGGCTATACCAAAGATCGAGTTTTAGAAGTGTTTCTCGAGTATTGGAAGAAGAGCTGGCATATGTGCATAATATCATGTAGACAAATAAATAAATATTTGTTTCAAAAAACGAAAATTCCCGATATTTTCTAAACACACCTCGTATTATATCCAAGCATACACTTAGTAGATTGTCTGCGAGGCAATTAATAAGCTTTCGGCGCTGTTTTATATACTATTCTTTTTCAAGCATTTAATTGGAATATTTCTTTAAGATCATTTTTTGGTTGGGTTTAACCGACATGCTGATATTTTAGCTTTATTTTTGTACAGAGTTTTATAATAATTTGAATTTTAACTAATATTAATA